AGAATTTCAACAACTTTCCATTATCTTTTCCCCATATTTCATACCTCATTGTACTTTTTTTTAAATAATATTTTTCTCCCTTTCTTCTATATATATAAAGCAAAAGCATAGAATGGTGAAACATTCAAAATACCAGAGAATGCCTTTAGTTAATCCAAACATTAAAAATTAAAATTATTAATTAAATGAGGATAATATGATAAATTCATATTTAAAAAAAAAATAAATAAAAGAAAAATAAGATATTGAATCCTATTTTTATAGAACATAACTACCTATTATTTTTTTTAATTCTAAAATTATTTTATTTTATTTTATTTTTAAAACCTCTCGTAAACGCGGAAGCGCGTGCGGAGAGGCTAGTTTTTATTAAATAAGCTAAATTATGAAATGTTAAATCTTTATGCTTTATTGCGTTAACTATTAAACTTGTGAAAGGTTTGATGATTTGTTGGACACCAACAGCATCCAACCGGACTGGTCACTATTCTTACCACAAGTCACTCATGCATGACTTTGGACTTTATACGGATTTGTTTATGCTGACTTTGAAACCGAAGTAGCAATCAATGGTCCGGGTTACTACAATGGTTGTGGCTCTCACCTTTTTTCTTCGCTTAGGTTTCTTTCTTCCTAATGTAACAAAAAAAAAGTAGCTATCAATGTTGACTCTTTACTTTTCAGAAATAATATAAACTCAAAACATGGAGGAAATTTTGTTATCTAGACTATGGCCCTCGAATATCCCAATTCCATCACTAGGTCTAGGCCTTTTCGTTTTCTTCCAAAAATGTCTTTAACCCTAAACCCTAACTCTGCCATCATTCATAACTATAAGCCTAATCTATTATTGCTTGCTGCTCTTCATGTATTTGTATTTGTTCTATAAAACTGTAAGTAAATAATAAATTAAATAAAAAACTCAAAGCAAACTTTTAGGTAACCATATTTGTGTTCCCACTTGCAGGAAAGAAAGCGTACCAATCCCTTGGTTATTATGCCAAACATAATTATTAAAGCTCAATCAATCAAAATGAACTTTTTTATTTAATTTTTCTTCTTTTGGCTTTTGCTCACGTTCTTAGCAAATTGCGGCATTATATACTTATCAATCAAATGAATGATAACATTTTGTTTACAAAAACTGAATGAGTATCCTAGTTCAAGTATTGGAGTAGGCTTTGCTTTGGGATTGCATTTTATTTCTCAATATCCACAAAATTGAATTAGTTAAAGAAATGACCTGTCTTGTGGGTTTTAGCCGTTTTCACTTTGAAGGGTGGAAGCCATTGTTCTTCCTCATTTTTCCTCTCTTCCCCATTTTTAAAGACATAATGTTTCCCATATTTGTCTTCATTTTGTTACGATTTTCCTACACCCATCATAGACGATTGCATCTCGGCATTAGATTTCCATCTGCGTTTCGGTGTTGGGTCTTTACCACCATCCTTTTTATGGTCTCTTTACATTTGGAATAAGTCGTAGAAACTTTTTAGGCTTTCTATGTAGTTTTCACCTCTCCTTGTGAGAGTTTTCCACCTCTCTCTTGTGAGAGTTTTATTTGTATGTTATGACTTGGTTTTTTCAAGCGTTATCTCTACTTGGTTGTTCTGAGTTTGCAATTTTAATTATGATGCCTATGTTAGAGTTTATTTGATCATACGTGATTGTTAGAGGAGACACACTAGATTGTCTTAATTTGATGTTTGATCGCTCTGTTATTATAATGGCCCTTTATGGCTAGTGTGTATTGACATTTTGTGGCTAGTGGATTCTTTTTGGTTGAATTGTGCATGTAATTTCAAAAAAAATTTAAAAAAATTAGTGGGTTCTAGCAAATGCATGTTTTTGTCGACCAGCCATGCTTGAAAGAGAGATGAACGGGTTGGCTTCGGCTTCAAATGAGATCCATAGTAAATACAAAGAACAATTTTCGGTTAAATGCGTTCGTTTTGGATAGACAAAGGAAATTAGGTTGGGAAAAGAAACAAAGAAAGGAAAAACACATACACATGACATGTAATGCAAGTAATCAAGTGTAAGCTTACAAAATTGCTTTTATTGTTTGTCCACTTAACGCCAAATGTGGTGGGGCAATTTTCCCACCACCACCACCACCCCCAATCAACAATTATCAGGCCAACTTACAATAATAGACAAGATATTATTTTTCTTTTTTATATTTTCGCATAATTTGTTTTGGCTAGTTGACCAAAGAAGAGGGTTTTTTATTTTATTTTATTATTTATAGAAGAAAAGACAATAGTGGGACTAGATGAGACACAAAAGTCCATGGACATGTGAAGTTTGGTTGTATAATAATTCGGACATACATAGTTTAATTTGTGTAGGAAATATATAAATGGAATACAACTGGTTTAATTTAATGAAAGAGCTGAGTCCACGCATTAGATTGGTCTTGTTTCATTATTTGAAGATGACAACTAAAAAATAATAGGCAAATACCAAGTATTCATAAAGACAAAAGATAATTGCAATAGTATGAACCAAACATGACGGCTATTATTTTAGGCTTGAACATTTCTGGTCTGGCAACACAGGAAGGAAAGCCAGCAAAACTTAGGTACCACACCACACAACACAACCCCAACAGGAAGGAGTGAAAAAGGTGGAAAGTTGGGGAGGAAAAAGGCCATTATCAGTCAATGTCTTGTGTCTACAAACAAAGAAAAAACAGGGTATATACAATTGCCTCTTCTTTCTAATGGGGGTATTTAATATTTTGATAAGTCTCAAGATTGGGGCCATTGCATAAAAGCTTTGCTTTTCTTCCCTTTTCCCCCTTCATCATTGTGCTATGAAAATGTAGCTTTGCTTGCTAAATGAGCACCAAAATCGACCTACCTTAATAATGGACAGGAGAAAAGAAAAATCAAAGGTCAAGACCCCACATGCATTGGAAGAACATATACACCGTGATTGGTGTATGATGCCAGCTCGCTCTCTCTCTCTCTCTCTCTCTCTCTCAACCATCAATCATGTTCCGGATCCTTTAATGAATAAAATGTATGGACTCTCACCGTATCTCACGTGATAAAGATAAACAGCCTCCTGTAGCTAATGGCACGGAAACTGGAAAGCATCTGGTTTCTTCTTGCATTCAAATAGCAAGATACATACCCACCCATGTTGGCTTGGACATGTTTTTGCAAGAAAAAGGATGAGCCAGTTGCATTGCAAGTGTACAATTGAAATATGCATGTCAGTGGCCTTTGAGGCCTATACTAATCTTGTTTTTAACTCACACACATAAGAAATAACAACTACAGTTTGGGCTATGATATCCTTCCAGTCACTCCCAACCTCCAGAACTGAGTTCTCCATTCTCTTATTGTTTCACAATCACCAAAAATTTCACTACGCCCTTCAAATAGGAACTTAAACGACCCCAGGAAAATATCCCTGCACGAGCTCACGCTGCATGTAACTAATGTTTAGCTCTATCTTTTGGGTAATGCTGTAATCAATTTGAATCCTTCTCCAGGAGATTAGAAGTCTATTAACAGAAGCATGATCAAAGTAGACAGTGCAGCCGCTCTCGCCCCATTAAATGGAGTACTAGTGAAGGAACCACCGGCTTGTTTGTTACTCAAAGGGTATCTAACATACGTAGAAAAACTGACACTGCACAGGGTAGTGAAGTTTAATGATATGGTAAATCAAACAAAATCTTAATCATTTCACTTTTAAATTTGCTAAAGACCTTTTTCAAGATAATAATCACCAATTTTCAGACCCAGTCGAGTTAGTGCTTTCAACTCACCCAAAACAACTCCTGAAAACATCTAACCAACACACTATGGTTACAGATTACCAAACCAAAGGCCAATTTCCAGCTGAAGCACACATTCTTCCTACCAATCTACCTTCACAATCATTACTGGACCTTGAAATTTGACATTGCGTATCTGAGACATCATACTATGGACACTTGTGAGAGTCTTGGCACCCTAACACTGTCAAGTGTGCTCTTCAGCAATGGCAGAAGGCATAAAAAAAATGGCAAAGAGAAGCACCTCTGCTAAGACTCAAGAGCTTGTTGCAAATGCACCTTAAACCAGATATATTTGTTGAACATATGACTGATTCAAACTAGGAACAAGCTATGCACCACTCTCTCACACAAGTAGGCTAAAACCATTCAAACAATTATGAAATATTCTATAATTTCCCACACCAGCCAAAAGATCCACATATTGCCCAAGGTGAATTTGAAGACCAAATATTTTCTAACAACCTGGCATACTGCCCACTCTCCATCAGGAAACCAATAAAAGAAGTAGTCATCCTGATGGGAACTCTAAGGGTTCTATCCATTCCAATTTATGTAAATTTCAACATTGTCAGCAGAAATGTGGTTAGATTTCTTGCATTCAAATAACCTTAATGTGAAGATATTTCATCAGCAGGAAAAAGGGATATCAAGCAAAGCTGTATTCAGTTGGTTTGCCAGATCAAATACTCATATGACTAGATTAAGCAAGTAAAACCTATTTGGTTCGTCTCTTTAGGAACCTCATTGCAAGTTTCTTGCAGTAACCCTCGTTACTGAGCATATGGTGCCTTTTGGTTAAATGATGAAAAATAGCGCGAAATAAATATATGAAACATGCATTCTTTCAATATATTTTAGTATTTCAAACCCATAACAACATTTCTTTCATGTTAACCACTGTATGAAACAGATATACAAGGTTTCAATTAGTTACAACTTATAACACAGTTACCAGATAGGGCATGATGGCACTTCCTAAAGACTTGTATGATTTTCCATATTCCTATTCCCAAGCTAGAAATTTGACTAGGACTAGTATCACTATTTGAATCGATCTGAGATATTACAATCAACTCTTTCTTTCTAAATGTTGCAACTCTTTGTACACTTTCCCAATGCAGAATTCCAGTGTGGATGTCCTCAATTTTTGAGTTCGTTATTCTTGGCTCTTGGAAACGCGGTTAATAGAGCAATCAAAACTTGCTTCATAAGGCATTCTCTGTGTCTGTAGTATTGTAAACATTAGACTAGTGTGAGCATTTACATTGTCTTAATCACCATAACTCCACGAACAATCTCAGAGACAAAACCCTTCCAGTAATAATACAGGGTACTTAATTTTAAGTTTCTAAAAGCATTTCCATCAATTAGTGACAATATGTTGTAATTTGGCTTAAATCATTTATGTAATTTACAACTTAGCAATTTCAGATTATGTAATTAATAATTTAGTGATCACCCTAATTTTGGATCTTGATAAAGTTTGCATTAACGTACTTGCCTCATGTTAGACTCTTTAGTTCTTCTTAACTCTAATAACCCAAATTTGACTACAAATCAAATCAAGCCAAGAAGCCTCAAATTAAGTACATGACTACAAAAAGTGCAATGTTATACAAGGTTGAGTGTTATCTAATTATTATCTTTACCAATACAATTTGTAAATATGATATCACCAGAAAATATCAATCCTTTCAGGTAAAATAAAATATATAGAAATCAATAATCAGTTGTAAGGATCTAAGACTATTTAAAGCTTTCATACAAAGAGGAAAAGCAAACATAGAACTGGGATCTCAACTTAATTGTATTCCGAAAGTAATTTTCCTTGTCATCCAGCAATGACCAATAATGCAACTAACATGAAGCTAAGTCTCTTCCGCAACGACATCCTCTCACCTCCAAGTCAAACCCTACAACGTATCACAGGGCAAGAGTTTATCAAAGAATCTATCTTCAGATCTTCCATCCTGTAACTCCCTACAATAACTACTGAAATGCGTTGACCAGTGTACAAAGTATTTAACACAGTTAAGTTTTACAAAAGCAATCTGTGGAGTATCAACAAATGTTCAAAAAATCAATAAATTCCTAGACTGAATACATTTGTACATTTTCTTCCTATCCCAACTTCCACCAATAACCCAATTCATCTAAAGAAACACGAGTCTGAAGGGGCTCCATGGAATGCCATCATGTTTGTGCGAACCTAAAACTTCAGTTTCAGAATAAAAGGAAAAACAAAAATACTTAGTGTTTGAAAGATATGTACTCATTTTAAAGTTACTCCGAAACATGAGAATGGGATATTTTGCAAGGTTTCCTTCAATGAATTACAGTTACAGACTATCCAAAATACATTGTATGAAAGAAGATGGGTTTGATTTCCCTTACATTGACATAGCCTGACGTCTTGCAAAGTTTATTACGTCAATGAGCGCAGATCATCATCTCCCAAATACTAGTAGGGTTTTCTAGTACCAAGAGGAAGGAGACATTTTCTAAACAAAGCCAAGCTAGAAATGATATTCAAGGAATTATCTTTTCGAAAGCTCTTTGTAGTCCATCAAACGTGTGCCAGGTCGACCTAAGAGCATGCCTTACAACTCAACATTCAGTGAACACATGTCCCTATTCTCTAATTTCCAATTTAAAGTATGGCAGACTATGCTTACTTGCCAACTAGAGCGCTCCCGAAGTTTCTTCAACTACTAAACCCTAAAGTGCATCAACTTGTTAAAGATCAGTACAGTTGTAGTCTGTTCTCCACATATTGCAAAGTTTACTTGGAATCTCACCTATTTCCCACATATTGAAGAAGCTTATTAAATTCATTACAGGTGACTGACTGTTCGGTTGTTCAATCATCATTGTTTCATAGCTGACAGATGAATCTGTGCAATCCAAATCATAGGAAACCTCAGACCTTGATCAGCGATTTGGACAAACCATCATGTTTGACTTAATGTTTCATAACTCACAAGTGAAACAGAATAATTCTACTCCATGCATTAATTCACCTTCCCAACAAAGATTATTATGATTCCAGCCAAAACAAAAGCTAAGAAACAAAGATTATAAACAACCATCATCTCGACTCAGTTTCATGTTCATCACCATCAATAATAAGTGTAATATCACCCATCAATTCGTTCTAAAGAATTGCAATGTTACCAAATTATCAACCCTGAGTTTAGCATCACCCTATTGATTAGGGCATATCTAAAGTGATATTTGATATATCTACTTCATGTTACACTAGACACTCCTAAACCATGAAGTCCAATTTTAGTGCAATCATTTCATATCCTCTGAGTCTGGACTACTCAACAGAAACTAGGAGCTGTGAACCTTCTATGACTAGTGAAACAAGTTACTAGTGGCAAGATACATGGCCAGAGAGACAAATATATAAGAAGTCAATGTCACAAGAACAAAAAAATTCATCCTTCTTAAAGGCAAACAACTCTTAGAACACTTGATTCTCAGAATCTGTTCTAAAAGCGAAGTGCTTTTGTGACACTCCACATGTATCTTCCTAAGCTTCACTCTAAGCACCCATTAAATTCAGAAAAGAAGAAGAAAATGAAAAATCATGAACAACCCAATTCATCAATTCAAACAATTCGCTTAATCCATGATTCTACAAAAAAAATAAAATAAAAGTCGATGATCAAACAAATCTGCACAACCCCAACATTTTCACAAATGAAAAGAAAGCAAGCAAGATTGAATTTTGAAGAAAAGGCAAAAAGGATAGAAGAAAGTTACTGTACAGGGGCGCGCGTAGAGGTTAAGGGGAGCGAAGCAGCAGAATGGGATCAATCAGAATGGGAGTCGTAGTAATAGTCATTGTAAACAACGGTGGAGGAGGAGGCATCAGAGTCAGAGTAAGAGTAGGAGTAGTAAGAGTCCGGAGGAGGGACGCAGAGGAAGGTCCAGAGGCAGAGAGCGAGACGACCCAACTGCTGCAGAGGGAAGCAGAAGACAAGATCTAACAGCTGATGGCTGCTCAGACGCTCTGGTAAACATGCCAAATATTGCCACATCTCCGCTGATGTGTGCGCCACTGACACCACCATCACGCTGTTGAACACCATTTTTTCTGTTCGTCTCTCTGTTTTTGCTTGTCTTTGTTTCTCTTGTTGTCGATTGGGGTGAGTTTGATTTTCTCTGGTAATTTTGATTTGATTGAATTTGAATGCGTCTTAAATTTGACCACTTCTTCTAACTTCTACTGTACTGTTGGAGAGTCAATCACTGCATCCGAGCCATTTTACTTTATCAGTAATGATATTTTCTTTATGGAAAACACTTGCTTCCTTCCTCGAAACAAGAATTTCTATTTTTTTTGTTGATTACAATTTGGTATGTATGTAGAAAATTTTCTTTTTTGTATGTGATGAATGATTTTTTCATATATGTTAATCTGTGATTAATGCGGGAAGTATTGTCTTGATGTTTCTTTAATAAAAATCAAAATAATTAAAGGGTTTTGATTTTATGTCTTATAAATTGTATGTCATACTCTCATAAGCTGGCACATTACATCAATCACTATAACCTCAATCAATTCATGATAAATTGATAATTCAGTCTTTGCCATTTTGCATTGTGTCTGTTGTTTATTTAAGAGACTAGCAACGCGGTTTATATATGTTAACTAATTAATTAATGACATTTACATGTGGTGGGTGGGTGGGCAGGTTGCAAAGGAGGAAAGAGGGTGAAGCTATCTATTTGTGCTCAGTATTCTACCATTTGTCGATGGGCTAGGAAATCTCTCCAAACCAAACGTACCACAGCTTGGAATGAAAGACTCAATCTTCCCTCTCATTCAGAAATTTCTATGGTTAAGTAAAAACAAAAATGCTAAGAATAATGCAAATGGCTTACAAAAGTGTAGCAATGGTGGTGGTGACTTTGATCTCTGCCGTGCTGATGACAGCCTCTGCAGGAGGAGGAGGAGGAGGAGGAGGAGCAGGAGAAGGAGGTGGCCAAAAGGTTAGATTTGCAACATGTATCCGTGACTGTATGCCTCTATGCATGCAACTAAAAGACGTAACAAAAGCAGCCTGTGACAAAGCTTGTGAGCTTGGATGCAAGCAGTTGCAAGGTAAAGGGCCTCCTTCGCGCGGAGTTCGTTTGTATACGGAAGGAAAACCCGTTAATATTTCTGATACATCAAACTAATGTTACTGTTCAGCAACTAGAATAATAATCAGAATAACTGTAATGGTGTTTTTGTAAAGGCAAAATATGCACTTTGGTTCAATCAAAACAGGGGAAAATTAAGGTACTGTAAACATTGTTCAGAATAATAATGAGTATCTGCTGTATGAGTATGCTTCCTTATGACCAAAACATTTTTGGGTGCAGAATGCTGCTTTCTTTGAACACTGGTAAATTTCTGAAACACCCAAGAAAAGATAACTAAATTAAGTAGCGGTAATTGTCCTGAAAACTGAAATGGATGGTTTCTTCTCCTTCTCAGATGCCTGGTATCCTATATCTATCTCCTCATACAGTGAGTGCATAATGCAATACACTACAATTGGAGAGCATTTTTCCTCACAACTTTAACTCAAGGCATCACCATCTTTTTCAATACTTGAAATAACTTTGGTTCCACAAATACAAAACAAATAGTTAATTATGGTTATGCTCATAGACACGTGTCAAGTATTAAGAAAGGCGGTGAGAATACATCTTAAGTTAAAATGGTGAGCAAAAATAGTACCCCAAAATTATTCCACATCTTCCACGAGTGATGACATGAAGGTGGGCAACCTGAAGCCCATTTCACAAAGCCCACTATTTGATGGTTTTTGGGTCCATGGATTATATTGAGGGGTCCATTGGAGTTCGATGTTTGGTAAAAGAAACAAGTAAGCAGCAAGCAGTGGTCAGTGGCTTTGAAACCAAAAACAAGAGATGGATGCCTTGAAGCTATGGAGCCTATCTTCGCAACCACTCAAGCACCTCTTCCGCTGTACCTCTTCCACCACCACCACCACTCTTAGACGACCCTATTCTAATTCTTATTCTTCTTCTTCATATTCTAGAGTGGTCCTCCGCTGTTGCTCTTCCACCACCACTACCACCACCACTACCAACGCCGGCGGCAGAAACCGGCGGGTATCGACATCATCCTCCACATCCGATAGAGATGCTGTTCGAGCCATTCGCTTAAAGAAGGTAAGTAACTTTTTATATAAAATGAAGCTCTGACTGAAAGTCTGGAACTTTATAATCCTCTGCTTGGTTACTGGCAGAATGTTGGGAAATGAAGGAATTCAAATTCTGGGTTTCAAAGTTCCTTCATATGAAAACAGTTTCTTTATGGGTTTATAGGTAGAAGAACTGAGGAGCAAAGGTTTGGAGCCATATGCTTATGGGTGGGAAAGGACTCACACTGCTAATCAGCTGCAAGATATATACAAGCATTTAGCGGATGGTGAAGAGTCAAAGAGTGAAAAGGATGCTGTATCTGTGGCAGGAAGAATTGTGGCTCGCAGAGCGTTTGGAAAGCTTGCATTTTTGACATTAAGGGACGACTCAGGAACAATTCAGGTTTGGTTGCTCGCTCAGTTAGACTTGTTGTACTTGTTACTCGATCTTAGTTCGTTGGTTGTGTATACTTTCAATTGTCATTATGTTTATTTCCTGTCATGTCTGCTAATATTGGATGGTTATATATCATTCCTGGTCTCCTTAGAAAAAAGAAAATTTGTATACCCTTCAAATAAAACTAAACAAAAATTATAGTAAGGCGCTGAGTGAAGTTATAATTATAAATATTTGGTTTCAGCTTTACTGTGAAAAGGAACGGCTTGCAAATGATCAATTTGACCAGTTAAAGGCACTTGTTGATATTGGTGATATAGTTGGTGTTAGTGGATCCATCAAGCGGACAGAGAAAGGTAAGTGTTGTAATGTTTCTTATTCATATTTAGTTGCTAAGCTTCTCTGATAGGAGAAGAGCTTCCAGAATAAAATGAACAAGAATTCTATTTCAGTAATTCCTGAATTATAGATCATTTGCTAACTAAAAGTAAAATCATTTTGCAACTTTGTGAATTTGCATTGGCTAATGATGTAAAACCATTCAACAAGTTTCATGGTTGTCCAAAAAGAGGTTAAATTAGCTTCAAGGTCTTGCAGAGAAAGCTAAGACTTTCTCTTGGTTAATTCCTCAGGGGAGCTTTCTGTCTATGTGGATTCTTTTGCAATTCTTACAAAATCTCTACTCCCGCTGCCAGACAAATATCATGGCCTAACAGATGTGGACAAACGATACCGTCAACGGTGAGTTGATCTTTTCTTTTTGAGTATTGTGTTTTAGATGCCTATAACATTGAAGATTGAAATGCTTTCATGGTAAGGCTCGTGGTAGGTGAACATAGATGAAGGATTTTAGTTCATGGTTTTCTTGTTTCATATTAATTTATTTTAAACATGGTGACAAGTTTGTACAAAATGGTGTCGAAAGTTTTGGCTTCTAGATTGCGGGAAGTTTTGGGCAGCACTATATCTAGCTATCAGGGTGCATTTGTGAGGGGTAGACAGATTTTGGATGCTGCCTTGATTGCCAACGAGGTGGTGGAGGAAAGTCGAAAGCTTAACAAATCAGGAATGGTGTTCAAAATAGACTTTGAGAAAGCCTATGATCATGTGGAATGGAGATTTGTAGATGAGGTTATGATAAGGAAAGGTTTTGGGGACAGGTGGAGAAGCTGGATTCGAGGATGTCTGGAGTCGGCTAATTTCTCTGTGATGATTAATGGAAGGCCTAGGGGTAAATTTTGGGCCTCAAGGGGTCTGAGACAAGGTGACCCACTCTCCCCCTTTCTGTTCACTTTGGTAATAGATGTGTTGAGTAGAATTATGGAGAAAGCCCAAGCTGATGATCAGTTTCATGGTCTTATTCTGGGGCATGAGATGGTGGAGGTATCCCATCTCCAGTTCGCCGATGATACCATTTTTTTCATTGAGGATAAAGAAGAGTACTGGAACAATCTCCTTCAGATTTTGGATTTATTCTGTTTCATGTCAGGAATGAAGATCAACAAATCGAAATGTTCTCTAGTTGGCATTAATGTTGAGGATGGGCTGTTGAATGAGCTGGCAGGAGCTTGGGGATGCGAAGTGGGGGCTTGGCCTATGTTGTATTTGGGTCTTCCCCTAGGTGGGAACCCCAGAGCAATCAGGTTCTGGGACCCCGTTGTGGAAAAGGTAGAGAATAGATTACAAAAATGGAAGAGAGCATGCTTATCCAAAGGGGGAAGACTCACAATGATTCAAGCAGTGTTGAGTAGTATTCCGATTTACTACATGTCCCTTTTTAGGATTCCCATTGGAGTAGCCAATAGAATTGAGAAACTTATGAGGGATTTCTTGTGGGAAGGCTTGGATGGGAAGAAAAACCACGCGGTGAGATGGGAGATTGTGGGTAAAGCAAAAATCTGTGGAGGACTAGGAGTGGGTTCGTTGAAAGCTAGGAGTGAGGCTTTGAGAGCCAAATGGCTGTGGCGGTTTCCTAATGAAACTCATGCTCTATGGCATAAAGCGATCAGAAGTATTTATGGAATGGATACAAACGGGTGGGATGCTAAACCTGCGAGACAAGGATCTTGCCGCAGCCCTTGGAGAGATATTTCTAGTGGCTATAATTTATTCCGTCAAGGATGTGTCTTTGTGGTTGGAGAGGGAGTTAGGGTCAGATTCTGGGAGGATGATTGGAGCCGGGGTGGTGTTTTGAAAGAGGGGTTTCCAAGACTAAAACCACATAATTTCCTCCTTTACGGTATCGAATGGGTTCCCTCTCAGTTGGGATTTTGGTTTCAGGAGGAATCTTAACGAATTAGAGATTGCGGAGGTGGCTAGATTATTGGACTTATTAGAGGGAGTGAGATTGGTCACTTCTAGAGTGGATAAGAGAAGATGGAAGCTAGACCCCTCCGGGTTATTCTCCTGTCAGTCTCTATGTTCCCATATTCAGAGTAGAGGTGAAGGGGAGGTTTTCTCTCCGTACACTCAAATTTGGAAGGCCAAGACTCCTCCAAAAGTTAAGATCTTTGTGTGGCAAGCGGTGTTGGGAAAACTTAATACAGGAGATAAACTACAGAGACACTGTCCCTATGTGTGCATTAGCCCGCACTGGTGTGCTTTATGTAATAAGGCAGGGGAGAGTGTGGACCACCTCCTCCTTCATTGCCCTTTCTCCCTAAAATTGTGGGAGATGTTACTAAAGGAAGTAAACACGGTGTGGGTAATACCGGAAGGCTGCTTTGAACTTTTTTCAATCAGATTTGATGCTTTGGGAAGGGGAAAGAAGGCTAAAATTCTCTGGGGCAGTCTGATGCAAGCAGTGGTCTGGAACCTTTGGCTGGAACGTAATAGGAGAATATTCGAGGAGTATAAGGGAGTGGGGGTGGAAGAGTTATGGGAAAGAGTGAAGTTTTGGGCTGCTCTTTGGGCATCAACTTCACTTGCTTTTAAGAATATACCCTATCCTACAATTATGCGTAATCTGCTAGCTGTAGTATCGTAAGGGGTCTCTTATGTTTGGCTGTTTTATTTTCTGTGTTGAGTGGCATTGTGTCTGCTCTTCAGGATAGTGTTTCGTTCGTTTGGTCTAAATGTTCTTATTTTATCCTTCAATTTTGAATAAAAAGTGTTTCTATTCAAAAAAAAAAAAATTTATTTTAAACATGGATTTGACCTAGTGCTAAGAGAATCATTAGCCTCAATAGTATGGATGCACATATTTTTTGGTATGTGTTGTGTGAAGGTCTCCTACTTTGTTTCTTATTGTCCCTCTGTTTTTCTAATTTTCCTCTTATTTTTCTTCATTTTTAACAAAGCCTGGAAAATCTTATAATGATATTATGTTCCTTAAATTTCTACTCAATTACTGTTATTCTCTTTCTTCCTGCAATACTATATTTTATATGTAGATAAAATATTGGTTTACCTCCAAATTGTCTAATTTCTTTAGTTGGTTTTATCTTATTTTCCTTTTAATATTTAGGTATGTAGATATGATTGCAAATCCTGAGGTAGCTGATGTATTCCGCAAAAGAGCAAAGGTAAATCCCGCCTCTTCTCTCCTTAGCAGAAAACAATGAAAACCTTCTAGGTATTTGAGATTTTCATTTTCATTTTTGCTACTTTTCAAATTTATACTGCCATGCTTGAAATTGATTTACTTGTTTATTTTGCTGAGTAGATTGTATCAGAGATACGAAGGGCAGTGGAATCTTTTGGTTTCATTGAAGTTGAAACTCCAGTTCTACAGGTTTGCCAATATCTTCACAGTTTCATATTTACATGGAGTTTTAGCTATTTGATTTGATAAACTGTTTGGTAATTTTTGCGATAGTGCTTTCTCAAAGCTTACACTCATTCAATTTAAAAGCCTAGCTGAAATTATTTGTTGGTGAGGTGGAACTGAACTAATTGAAAAATGAAATTATTTTCGGGTGTGTGTAGAGAAATAAAGAAATAGTGAAAATCCAGAAATATTTTCGCTCATTAACATGTTTGCATCTGTTCTTATCATTAGATGATGCTTATGCAAGAAATTGTTGCCTGGACTGAATTTTACAAGTTAAAAAAACATTATCTTTTTCTTGAAATATTTAATTTCTGCATAGTATGATTTTATTCAAGTGTCATACGTGAACTTCACAAGGATTGCATATACCTGGAAGTTGGGTTTTAATTGATTTGATAAACTAGGGAGCAGCTGGTGGAGCGGAAGCTAGGCCATTTGTTACATACCATAATTCACTTGGAAGGGACCTGTATTTGAGAATAGCGACTGAGCTCCACCTAAAGAGAATGCTGGTGAGGGTTTTCTTTTTCTTTTTCCTCTGCTCTTTTGGATAAGTGCTGGTGAGGTTTTACATATCATAATATACCTGGTCTGTTTCGTCAAGTGCTTACCTGCTGTTCATCATTAAACTGCGAAGGTGGCATGATATATAATATTGTATTGTAGTTACAAATCCTATTCTATGAGTACCCTGTAACATATATAAAGACTGTTGTAAAAGTTGTTAGCTTGTAAGTACTCATACTCGCAGGAATATAAAATATTAATGTGTTCCCTTTTATTGTCATCTTCATCATCATGATCATTACTATTATGTTGCACTATAAATATTGTGGTTGAGCTTGAGTGTAATAAAGATTTGAAAGTTATTTCTCACCTTTTAATCTGCATACTCTTCCTATATGAAGCTCATAAGACTGTTTATTAGTTATCTATTAATTTTTCTTTTTCAAATGAAGGAAAATACATTACTAGATCTCCAAAACAATGTGTGCCATGGCTAATTTTGAATGTTGTTTCTTCTAAAATCATACAGGTGATACTGTTTCATACTATAACAACTGAATGATTGTACAGTATATTTACATATTGAATAGGATCTGTATATGGATGACAGGTTGGGGGGTTTGAAAAAGTGTATGAGATTGGTCGAATTTTCAGGAATGAAGGCATTTCAACTCGTCATAACCCTGAATTTACCACTATAGAGGTAAGTTAATTTTACTTTTTGTTTTGTTTGATAATGTGGTTAATCTTAATGTACGTTACCAAATTAGCCTTACTAGTTTCGTGCTATTAGATATTTAACTTTCCTGTCTTTATCAAGTGAAGCTCTGATCATTATTGGTATTAGTCTGATCTTAGATGTATGAAGCATATTCGGACTATGAAAGCATGATTAACATGGCAGAGGAAATTGTTACACGATGTGCGCTTGCAGTTCATGGGAATCTTACCATTGATTACCAGGTGAATGCACCTTCACCGAACTAGTGACAGGATTTCTTACCAGTTGGCATTGCCATAAAAGCAAGTTGGCAACCACATGCCCTTAGTTATATAAGAAATTGAGTTGCTTTTAATCTGTTATCATATTCAATGCAGGGGGTGGAGATACATCTTGAGCGGCCTTGGAGGAGGGAAACCATGCACAATCTTGTAAAAGAATCCACTGGGATTGATTTTGATGAGATGGGCAATGATCTTAAAGTTGCTAAAGAAGTTACTCTGGAAAATCTTGGAGGTGATCTTGATTACAAAGACAAATCTTCCCTTGAAGTATGCACATCTATTGGCCACCTTCTTAATGAGGTTGATCTGAATCTACAATCTCAATCCATAATTCTGATTTTGGTTTTCTATGTGCATAAATCTATTTATTAGTTTGCTTGATTTTTCTTGTGATGGGAGGCTGTTCATATAAACAAAATAGGTTACAACGATGAAAAGGAGAAACTCTTGAAGTGCGGATCTTAATTGTTATATTCTAGGTTTTCTCCTTTCTCTGATCCTAAGTATTCATTTGTCCAGGTTTTTGAAATTGTTGTAGAACCAAAGCTTCTGCAACCTACATTTGTTTTAGACTATCCTATTGAGATATCTCCTCTGGCCAAGCCACACCGAAGGTATTATACCATGTTGATTACATGACATATTACTTGCATTTTGGTATTTTTATGTGTCATCTTACTCCTTAGTTCTTCAAAATCAGAATTGCAGGGTTGACTGAGAGATTTGAGCTTTTTATCTGTGGTCGTGAGCTGGCCAATGCTTTCTCTGAATTGACCGATCCTACGGATCAGGTAATCATGAACACTGATCAGTGGCTATTTTCACTGCCAATTATTCTAAATTTTTCATGAGGTTTGGATAGGTGGGAACTGCTTGTGGTAATCACAAACCTCCTCATGAAAATATTCATGATTAATTCCTCCTCGACAAACTTCAGTATAGAAGTCTAAACTATTTAAGATTTTAGAAATGGAATATAGGAAGCTATGTAGATTTTTATATCAATTTGTTCAATTACGTACTAGTCACTAATACCCAAGTTGATGTTAAGGTGAAATTTTATACCCAGTTTGTGTTTTTCCTCTATTAGTTTCTTTTTTGGGGGCAATACGAAGAAAACATGACAGGCTGTTATTGTTTTTCTGGGGTTGCTCAGGAAAACATCACTGTGTTGGCTTCTATTACATAGCAGAGAAAAACTTTTCATTGGTTATGGGTTTTGGCAGAGAGGACGCTTGGAAGAGCAAGTGAGGCAGCACAATGAGAAGAGAGCAGCAGCTATTTCAAAAACAGAGAGTGCAGAAGATAAAGGAAAGTTAAATGATGAGTCTTATGAAGTGACTCTTGATGATGATTTCCTTACAGCTCTGGAATATGGGATGCCTCCAGCTTCTGGAATGGTATGGTCATCCGTTTGCATCTATTTTTTATTCAATTTATATATCTCATACATTCCTCTAGGCAAAATACTAATGGAAATAACTTATTCAGGGACTTGGAATTGACAGGCTAGTCATGCTTTTAACAAACTCGGCCAGTATCAGAGATGTAATTGCGTTCCCGGTGCTTAAAGTTCAGCAATAAGGAGACCGGCAAGAGGCTTTAGGAGCAGTTATATAGAGGCCGAGCTGGAACCCGCCTTATTTATTTACTTACTTATCATTTTCACTGATGTCCAATTTAGTGGGCAACGATACCTCGGCTAACCACTTGGACCAGCTACCTGGCATAATTTTGTGGCTTCCCCATTTTTCATTTCCTGGTTGCCCTTTTGTATACTCTTTTGGCCATGTCCTGTTTTAACTCATCAACCAAGGCCCCTTGATCCATTTGGTGGGCCTCGTCAAAATGATGTTAGCTGTTGAAAAAATGACTGATAACAGAACATTGTTGTTACAATGATATAAGGAGAGTTGAGATCATCAACACGATGCGTTTCTATTTCTGATGCTCTGAATTACCATCAAGAGCATGAAAGTTTGTCTACCAATGTGATGCATTTCCTTTGGGTTGCTTGCTGTATTGCTTTGTGCCTAGAAAGGCTTGAAGCCTTGGAAACATATTTTATAGGTCAGGTGGTTATCTCAAGATCTTCAAAAACATATGGGGTTTGCTGAAGCTGTGACAGAGACTGTTATTTACTTGTATGCCTTTCCAAAAGGTGTATTAAAATTGGGTTTCTCCACCAAAAATCAATTACCATACAGTTTTTTCAGTTTTGGTAGTTGATGCATCTTGAAGCTCCATCGTTACAGTGCCGCCAGTACAAAGAAATGATGAGGGTGAGAACTTGTAACAGGCAGGTAAGCGTAACATCTCTTTTATTATTAATTTTGGTAGCCAGCTTTGATGATGCAATGCAAGACAGAATTGCTTTCAAGGGGATGGGCCTGCCTTTGCCCCCAGAATGATATACATGAGGGCATGCGCTTGTCTGGTAAGTTGTTGTAACACATGAAATGAAAAAGCTAGAGAGTAGAGTAGAGTAGAGTGGAGTAGGCTTCTTCCCCTTTCGTAATCTTACATGGGCTGGGTGGTGTTGGGTTGTGAACTTCTGAGACAAATCATCACATCACCTGCCTCTTTTGGCTTCTCAAATTATTTGCTTTTACAGATGTTGCATGCCTATTGGCCTACTACTGGGTCCCAAGTTCCCAACCCATGCCGTGTTAACATGAGGAGGCCCACGTAGCTACCATATCAATTTCTACAATGCCTTTCAATTATTAACCTTTCTCACCAACATGCAACAACATCCCCTTTAACGTGTATATATATTTAGGCTGTAAATCACTGATCAAAATCGTTTAGTTTTTAGGTTCTCTTTCAAGGATTATCTATGCGAAAAATCAGCTCCCAAATCGTGCATGATGAGTATTAATCGTGCCTTTGGGTAGGATGCATATAATTACGTTATCAAAGGCGATGAATAAAATACTGTTTGTGTATAGAGATGGCATAAGAGGATACATGAGTTAGGTTTACGTGGGGAGTGGGGTTACAAACTTACAAGTCCAACAGAAGAAGCAAAGCATAACCATTAATTGAGTTAGCAGAAAGAAGCAGACAGAGGGAAGGGAAGGGAACTAATTATAATTAAGGCATATAATATATAATATAATACGAATAGCATAACCTATCTTAGCTTCCAAAAGGAGGATCACATTAACCAATTGTTAAATTTAGAATCGAGAAAAAGGTGCATCTTTCTTTCTGGGCTCTTTCTAAAAGCGAATAAAGAAAAGCAAAAGTTCCAAGTCCTATACCAACTGTCGGTACATATATACATTTCTTTCGACCAAAACTGGAAAAAGGAGCCCAAATTCATAAAGGCAAAGTTGGCATTGAAAAGGTCAATATCCTCATCCCCCCACCCCGACCCCCAAGCAATCCATGGTTGGCTGGCTTGCGCTGAATCCCTTAGGAAATTCCTTCAAAACTTCAAGCAGGGACCCCCCTCCCATCCTAGAACAAGAATAAACTTACACATATTTGCATGTCAGGCAACTTGGAGTTAAAACCAAGAAGGTTTGGAGCTTTTTCGATGTCTATAAATAATAATCGCTTACAATAAATACAATTTGGTATGCCAGTTGATTTGAGCATATATAAACTAATATGACACAAAAAGACTGTTGGTCGGTAGTTGTACGGGGTGTACAACAAGTTGAACTGTAGATTTAGAAAACATCACTTGCACTGCTGCATGATTGCATTTCATGTTGGTTGGTAGGGAAAGAAACTTTCAAAGCAGTTTATGTAGGCAGTTACTGTTCTTAACGCTCGTTTTGGAGGGAGGGATTAACAGTTACATGATGGAATGTTGGACAGTTGGCCCTGTCTTCCAAATTTCCAAATTGATCTATCTTTCTGTTGACTGTTCTTTTGGCTTTCCAGCTAAGCTCTCCTTTCCTTTTCTTTCTTTTTGTTCTTTCTAAATTCTCTCATTACATTTCTTCCCTGTTTCAACACAGTTAATGGAGGTGAAACCCTGAAAGAGGGGCATCATTGTAATTTCAGGATCCTCCTTCCATAGACAAAATTGCTTTCTTCCTGTTCCTCTACATTATAAAAGGGGAAATGAAATCCATTCCACCATCATAACCCTGCTGCCTGAAACAGGGGAAATCAAGGTTTTTTTGAGAGCAACCCATTTCTTCTTCTGCAGTTGGAAACTGGAATCCAACATCATAAGCTTTAAAAACTCTTATTCCTTCTGGGTTTCACTTGGTTTTGTTGGGGAAAAAAATCAACCTTGAAGCTCAGAATTGATATTACAGTATAGCTTAAATTCTTTGAAGGGATGCAAAAGTAATTTTTCTTATTTGATTCTGTTGTATGATTTTGAAAACTGGCTCCTTTTTTATCATCAGATGTACTGTCTTTATGGTTTTTATCTCCTTCAGATGAGTGTCAACTAAATTTACATTTTGGTTTTGAAATTCTCTTCGTGGGTACTTGGGATAAAATAAAATAAAAATTAACCAATAGTTGAAGTCATACTTTGACACATAGTAGATTGGAACTGTGAAATGAGCTAGTTGCAGGGCAACAATGGTAAGTTGTTAGTCTATCTCCATCAGGCACAATTTTTGATGAGGCTTTTGTTTTGCAAGATTCATTGTCCTCCCTTCATTTGCTTTTGTAAACCTTCCCCTCATATATACACTCCTGGACCACTGAAATTAGAGGATATCCCACATCCACCCTTGCCTTCAAAACTTGTGTCAGTTCCTGAAACATCTGATCAGTTATCTGTTGACACCAATGAGATAAAGGAGGAGAACTTAGATGGGATTCCAAAACCAGCTGAGCCTCATCTCCAAAGTAGTCTCAGAAAGCGCATTTCGGACTCCAGTGCTCCAAAACAGGAGCTCAAGAAGAGAGTACAATGGATGGACTTTTTCGGAAAAGAACTTGTTGAGATCAGGGAATTTGAATGCAGGTGTGTACTCTCTCTCTTTCTCTTCTCCCTCTCTGTCATGCTACTTCGTTATTGTGTTCGTATTCCGTTGTGTTGCTTAGTTTTTCCTTGGGTGGAACTCTTAGTAGAGAGATTGAATTACATCAGATAACAGCCCGGCTGCAGGATCTGAAAAGAGAAAAGGAAACTTTTAGTAAGTTTGTTTGGATTGATCCAACCATAACATTCATGTGAAACCACATATATGCATATTTTATCCATGAGATATTAGAATTGGAGGAAGAGCCGCCTAGGTGGTTGTAGTTCGATTTGCAGGAACAAATTGGTTGCCATTAGTTTATGTTTTTTAACAAATGGAGGAAATTTCATACATTATATGTGTTTTGATGCAAACTATGAGGAAAAACTCTCTCTTCAGAATTTCAGAAAGATAACAAGTAATTTCTAGGTGAACTTATGACTTGATAGACATGCTAAGAAGAGCTTTTCTTCTTCTTCTTCATTTTTAATTTCATTTTGATTGAGTGAAGGTAGTTATCAGTTTCACATCAAAATCGATTGCATTGATAAAAAAAGAGTTGTCTTTTGGGAAAGAGTAACACAAATATGGCTGGGAAATGAAGAAATATGTATCGGTGTGAAGAGGTTTCTAGCATGAGAAATAACAAAGGTGAAGATTGAGAGAGAAGTCTTTGATTACAATAGGTAAATGGTTCAATGTTGGGGGTTAGATAGATTGCACTGATCTTCCATGATGACAAAAGACATGGGGTCAACCGGAGACAAAGAGGCACCTTTGATCCTATCATTACTTTGGCTCAGTTGGAGGCAGTTCAATTAGGCAGATTATGGATGATGTTGTCCATAGGACTAAAGAAACACGCTGAGATAGACTTGCGCCTTTTCTATTGCTAATACACTTCTGTTGTCGTCTTCTTGTTAGTATCTTCTAGTCACTGTCATCTTCATTGCTAATGCATATTCATATCCCGGAGTGGTTTTGGTTTCTCATCTATTTACTACGTAACTTCTGTTTCTTCAACAGTGAACTAGAAGATACTGACAATGAAGACGACAACAGAAGAGGCTGCATTTGTGTTATTTTATGACCCTCTTAATCAGCTTCCACTCTGCAAATTCCTAAAGCAACTACATGAACTACAAGAGAAAGAAGGAGAAACATATATCCAGCCAATAAGTCTAAAATTTGAACAGAGCCACAGTGATTGAAATTCAGTTTAGTCAATTTCGCCTTACCAGCTCTCACAAGAGACTGTTTTATGAGAATTCAATAGATTGGATAGTCACTCTTGCTTTAGAAGAATGTTAAGCTGTGTATTTTCTCTTACACAACAACATTGTGTTCCTCTGGTTATGAAATTTCACACATGTTCTGAAACTTTATCAAGTTGTTGTTTTGTCATGTAGATGCTTAATGTTCCGGCAGAGTCATGCTCTAAAATGGTCACGATGCACATAAAATCTGTGAACTTCAAACTCATATCACATGAGGAAATGTACAGCTAGAGGGTGTAATGACAGCCATTTTTTTTTTTGTGATTCTAATTTCTGCCAGTAAACATCTTAAGTTGCTACAGCCAACAGCATAACTAAACGTATGATGTGGTAGAACAGCATAAGCATGGAATATGGATTTGCTATTGCAAGGAATGCACTGATGAATTACTCTACTTTTTATAGTTCTAAAACTCCATTAAACGTTTAATGTCAAGGATTAGCATGTGTCTGACTCTGCGTATGCATGTCGTTAGTGGCAAAATGTCAAGTATTGAGGAAGCTGATACGAAACTTTTCGTAACCCTCTTAAGTTTCCTTCTATCTTAAATTCTTGCAAATTGCAAATAGAAGACTCTCATCAGAGAAGAAAAAAAAATGGAAATACGTACAGTAAACAAAAATCTATTCAAAACTCATCCAAAACTAAAGCCATGAACAAATTGAAACTTGCGAAACTGATCCATTTGAAGCGTCAGATGGCGGATGGCTCAGTCAATCCCTTTGTTGACTTTCTAGTAAGCTCAAACGCACACCAGCTCAAGTCCTTTAATTTCCGAAGTAACTTGTGACTCTATTTCTTGTTGAAAATTCCAAATAGAGATTTTATGGCATTGATGGCATTCTCATTGATGAATGATTCGTCAAATCTTTTCAATAGAGGATCAAATTCCTCAGATGCTCTTACATTGGCTAGGTCAGGATCAGTCCGGATTCTCTGTCAACAATAATAATAATTTCTTAAGAAGATCTATGTAACAAACCATGGTATTCTCAAATTGGTATGTTACCTTGAAGTCTTCAAATCCAGCTTTCAGGGCATCCTCGAGGGCAGAGAGCCCAGCTTGTATCTGTTTAAAGAATTGGAATGTAAATAAAGCAGTTAGTTGAAGACATAAATGAATAGGAAAAGTGAGAACATCCTTCACTAAATATTTAACCTGTGATGTTTAGCTGTAGACAGATAAATAAAAATATAGGTTAACTCAGGTGGAAATATTTTTCATGGTTGAGCTAACTGCTCAAGTAGAAATAAGCATACTGAGAAATAGTAAAATAGGTGTTACTGATCATTGACTATTGACCTCAAAATTAGTGGCAAGTTGGTGTGTTGATTAAACCTCCCAATGCCAAAACCAAGATAAATACTGAGGCAAAACGATCAATGGTAATAATAGTTCCTTGTTCATTCAAACAAGAGCAATACCTGATTAAGCTTAGAATAACAACAAGCAACATTGTAACTTGCCACCGAAGCTTCATCTAACTCTGGTTTTAATCCTAGTACAGACTCAAATTTCTCCAATGCTTCCTCATATTTGGCTTTCCTTTATCAACCAATAAAAGAACAAAGAAAAAAATTGCCAGTGAGATTAAACGTATCTGAAAGTTAGACTTCCTATGAGGAGAGAGTGTAATATAAGATCAAGCTGCATACTTGTAAAGCTGCAGCCCTTCTCGAAGGTCACTTTCTCTCCTTGCTTTTTGTTCCTTTTTCTTCAAGTAGTTTTGCATCTGAAGTCATTTACAAACATATAGAGACTACATTGGAGGCCATTTCTAGAAATATCTCTCTTGTATAAGGAAGAAACAATTCTGCATTGTTTATATTGGCAACTGGAACAATGATTCACTCACTTGGATTTCCCTCACTTTGTTGCTAATTACACCAGAATTCCTTTCAGCTCTGATAATCTCCTTTTCTGTTAATTCACCTGAATTATCTATCTTGCCTGGAAAGAAATAAATTTGTTGAAGACATCAGACAATGTTACAAAATATTGATTTAAGGGAAATGAACCTTAAACTTGAACAAATTGTTTCTATAGTTTTTGTGTGATTCAACACCTAAATAACCTTGTTTTTCGTTGTAATTGAGTGTACGAGTGCGTATTTTACTTGAAGGTAAGATTGTGGTAGAGGATAAAGAGTACAAAGCAGGCACAGAGGATGAGCTACTAACCGTTTCTCTTCTGCATTCTCATTAGAAGTGGACCGACCCTCTGGCGAATGGTGTACATTGTCCTCCCATATTCAGCAGCAGCCCATATTTCATCCCCGAAAACTGCACTGCATGCATTTTAGAACTCTTTGATCACATATCCAAACAGGCACTCCTTAATTACATTCTCAGAAGAAGAAGAAAAATTTAAGCAAATCCAAAGTACTTAGTTAATCGTATAGCAACATCTAACCCCTCAAGAAACTGAGATACACAGGAATGTGTTGACAGTTTGTGGAAGCAATGATACGGACTTCAAATGAGTTACCTATGGTATAGACTAATCGCAAAACCCATAAAGCATTTGTTTCCAACTTAATTGGAAGAAGCAGAGCGCCCCTTCATATCTCTGATTACCCAACATCTTGTTCCATGAATTTATTGGTGAACCATTGAAGACAAGACCATGATAAATGACAGGGCTAGACATTTAAAAACAAAGTCGCTACAAAAATATGGATCCTCCTCATGCAAACCAAGCCACATGCTTAACTATTCATTCAGCAAGCATATCATATCAAGTCAAGCAATAAGCATGGTTTACTACAAGCTGCAAAGCTAGGACAAATTCAAAGGGGAAGACGAATCTAAGCACAAACCTGGTGGCAAGTACTTTATCCCCAACACTAAACTTGCCAGTTTTATCAGCAGATCCACCAGCTGCAATCGCATCAATGTAAGTTCCACCATCTCGACCCTTGGCAAATTTCAGCCCATAAGGCTGCACCACTTCTACCTCATATTCCTCAAATGCTTCCTCTCCTCCTTCCTCATTTCCACTTTCTGCTGCTGGTTTCGATGTTTGAGACTCAGTTTCCGATGCTTTTATGACGAAAATTGACAGCTTTACCAATTGGGTATTGAGAAAACAGGGTGAAGTGCTCAGGCATGACCAATTCTTGGATGAAAGAAGCTTGGTTTGAGAACATAGAAGTTGGGTCTGCTTGGTTAAAGCCGTTCTTGGCAAGGTTGGTGAAGAACAAAGAGAGAGGTGACTAGTTGAAGCTAAAGACATGGTCTTTGGTCTGACTTGGAGCTAGTTTGCTTGTTTTAGCTGAATGTTGAAGGAGAAGATCTTGGAGTTGGAGCTGCTGAAATTTGGAATGAAAATTCCATTTGTTTGGTCTCAAAGAAAAAGGTTTGGATTACAAGTGCATGACTAGTGGCTCTAATAGGCCGTTGTCTTCAATTCTGTGTGAGGCCACGTGTCACTTTTATGGGTGGCTGACAAAATAGACCCTTTATGGTAACGTTATGTGCTGTGTTGTGTTGTGCGTTCTGCCACCGATATTGCCTTATTTCAGCACATGAAAGACTGAAGTGAGAGGTTTTTACGTTCTGGCAGCAGCAGATGGAATGGAAACTGCATGCTAAGTTATATGTAGCTTTTTTCATTTATTTTCTTTTCTTTTAAAAAAGAAAAGAAAAGAAAAAAGCTTCACTTGCATGCTAAGTCATTATCATTTAAATTAGAACATTATGTTTCTGAATACTCATATATAATTATATACACACACACAATCATAGATGAAGCTCATTATGGTAATCTATAGATGTTAGATTTACATTGCTAAAATGTCTCACATGAAAAAACAGATAACTTCCAATTGCTCCATCTTGACACCATCCAACTAGCTACGGCTTCAGCCAAGACACTCAACCATGGTACACTTCTCCATAGCTCAAACAACTCTACATCTTCACACTGCTTTTATTCTATGCAAAAATAAAGGAACAAAAAGAAGCCGCTTATCTACAAACATATGGATCTCGTGTAATGCGAGATTGCTCTGACGTAGTCAAAACCTGCTGAAAGAAAATCGAAGAATTAAAATTCACTTTCCATCTGTTTATATGAGAGCTTAAAGGGATCTTTGGTCTTCATATCTAAAAAAAACCATAAGCAATAATGCTAAGCTTAAGACTTTTGATCACCTGCTTATTACAGATTTACAGGAATTCTTTCAAATAATTAAAACCTACAGTGGCAGAAAGAAAAGCTTCAGTTGTAAATACCCAACAAAGAAATGAAAATCGAACAAGCTTGAATGATATGTCAAAGGAGAAGATATTGTGATAATACCAACAGATTATTTCTTCAAAATATTGCTAGAGAGGATTTTCTTCCCGTAAGGACTGGTCCGAAGCACAGGCACATGAGGTTTTATTGCATCCATCAGTTTAGAATGAAAATTTCCCTGCTCATAAAGCAGAGAAGACCTAATCATTTTAACACAACAAAGATGCATTCCACTAAAATAAACTTGGAACCACCATGTTAACATCAGATAGTTTTTCGTAGTAGAAGAGCAATAATATGACTGTAACTGTTACAATTTTCCTCTACAAGGAGCAATAAATCTTTAACCATATCACCTAATAAATCATATAGAAGAGAATTTCATAAGGGCAACTAAAAGAAAAGTCACTACAACCCCCAAAAAAAAAACAAAAAACAAAAAACAAACAGGATTAGCATAATCGCCAAGAAAATCTAGCTCCAATGCATTTACTAACCTTTGATTGACTGAGTGCTGCTTGGATAACATAATTGCCATAAGGGTCTTGCATGATTTGATCCAAGCGCGGATTTTCTATCAGCTCCTGAATAATGCGTATGCGCCGCTCTTCACCTGCATATTTCAGGCTTTTTTCAACCACATTACTGCTATACTTCTGCACAGACAAATCCCCATAATTACCCTCCAACTGGTCAAGAATATCTACAGTTACCCATGGAAGCTGAAGTTCAAAGACAAATTGCACAACATAGTTCCTGCAAAATGAAAAAAACAATGACATTATTTGCTCAAAGTTGTACATTCAAACTTGGATTTGAAAACTAGTAATTGATGCTTGTTAAACATATTTGAATGAACTCTAGTGTAATGAAAGCTGTTTTGTGTGGGCTTTATTACTCTATTCAATCTTTCAGAGACAATCTAAACAAGCCTATGCTTCCACGGAGCACTGGTTTCCAAGAGTAAAACCACACACAAGACATGTTTGGAAAACCAGCCGCAGGTCAAAATTCACTACATTGCACAGACCTAAGCCAAAAGAGCTATGAAATCAGTATCGATCTTTATAAATCAAACCTTAAAACTTAATATCTACATTACTTGGTTATTGCCAATATTGTTTTCCTCAGAAAAGAGCAAAAAGGAAAAGCAGCACATACACATTTTTTTTAGGGAAAGCATCCACTGAGATTGGTTATGCATCCCTCTCTACAAGCTAATCTATGCTTTTTTATCGCCATGTCAATACACTTCTTTGAGATGGTGTATTGAAAGAAGTAAATCCAAATATCTCCCAGATGAAGTGTAGTAAATAATCGCACAGATCTGTTGCCATGCTAAGAACACATCATATCAAGGATATCGAAGAGAAATGAGAAAAAGAGAGTACCCAAATGGATCTTGGGAAAGGATTAGAGCATTCAAAGTGATCTCGCAGATTAATCGGTTTCTTTGTTCAGCATCAGAATGGCTAAGGCATTTTTGAAGCACGCAACAGCCATGGCGATCCGTTGCAAGCTCTACACAATTAGTAGTTGCAGCTTCAAAAAGAAACTGCAAAAGAAACCAATGTCATTCTTTCATTCCATGCTATAATATTTCTTTAAATTCTAAAATGACTAATACTGTAGGATAATAAGATTTAAACCAAGAATATAGGAACATCAAATCATTGTGCTGCTACAATATATAAGCAAAGGAGACAGAAACCCATCCACGCAGAATGACCACTCCAGATGATAAACCAAGAGCCGGTGATCTGGTCTTATCAGTTTAGCATCTAATGCTCTATAAACAAGGAAAAGGAAAAGTCCCATACTACTGCTGCTGCTACTACTCCTACTGTGGGTCTACTATTGATACAAAGAAGAAGTGATCTTATTGCTACTGCTGCTGCTACTACTACTACTACTACTACTACTACCACCACCACCCCTACTGATACGAAGAAGTGATCTTATTGTAAAAGGAAGTCCTGGCTTTGTTACACTTCATTAGCCTAATGAAAGCCATTCCAAGTTGAGAGCAGCATCCCCTCACCCCACCCCTGAGAAAAAGCCTCTTCCACTAGATGAAAATCTGAAATGAGAGACTACGTAAAACCAAAAAGAAATATGAGCAAAATCATGGGATGATAGCTAAGCATACAAAGCAGTTGACTTGAGTAATGATACAATTAAATTCAATCGTATGTAAAGATAACTAAGAGTAATTAAAAAGTTTTCTTATCCTTCTCTTAATCTTTTAGGTGCTTGTACCTAGATAAGAAGATGTACAGATAAATTAGCCTGCTTGCATCATTGTGCAGAAAAAGAAAACATCATCATATCAGCAACATCCATGTATTTGTAAACTTCACAAATAATTCAACGCACAAATCAATATCTTTTACCTCACGATATTCAGGCGTTAAATACTGCAAGCAGCGTTGTGCAACATGGTTGCCATTTGTGTTTTTTATCAAAGTCACTATCCCTGGCTTTAGGGAGGAAACGACCATGGAAAACTGCTCCGGAGTTTTGAGGGTTTCAATAACCTTTTGAACAGCCCGAGTCCTGTGGTTGGGAAGAGTTCCCAATTTTATCATATCAAATAGCAATAAAGAAAAAATTGACTCTGGAGAAATTAAAACACACACACACACACATGTATATGTATAGAGAGAGAGAGAGAGAGAGAGAGAGAGAGAGGGCAAACCCATGCATATCACATGAAATCCTAACGAGTTCTCCCGGCTTTTTAATGATTGAATGAAGAATTTGCATTTTCTGAACCTCACCACACACTTCAAGCAGCTTCTGGATGAGGTAATTCCCAAAAGGATCTGTCATGAGCTCAACAATGTGATCTATTATTTCAAAGAAAATATTCTCAACATCCTTTTGGGCGCCTTCAGAAAATTTTCTTTGTAAGAAGCGGCAACCATGCTGGTCCTTAGCCATGAGATAAATTCTACCAGTAATTTCATCCATGGAGTTATATTTCTGAGGCAATGCCTTCATGTCGGTATATTTCTGAGGCAATGCCTTCATATCTGTATTCTTAAGGTGCATCAAACTAGGGAACATACCCCATGTGCTTAAACTATCCAACTGAAAACATCCAGTGTTTTGAGTAGATAAGGTATGCCGGAAATGACCATTTGAGAGAACTTTTCCATTGTGACTAACATGAGCAAGTGATTCATCTGCTCCAACAGCACCAAACTTCACAGCCTTAAGTGTGTTCATTCCATGTGATCTTGTTAGAATCTTCTCAGGAAAACTCTGTTTCCCCACCTTGTCAAAAACTTGAATCCCATTAAAATCTGTGTAAGAAAGGGCAGGATTTGATTGGTGTGGACCCCTGGGAATCGCATAATTGTTCCAAACTCGTTCTTGATTAGATTGTTCGAGCCGATGGGAGATTGGCACCTCAAAATGGGGATGCCTGGGGTTTGGACATGTTAGCCTGCTTGCAATATTCCCACTTCCTTGAACCAGATGCTGAGCTTCCAACCGCTGATCATGAAGCTGTTGCAAGTACACATATCTTTGCTGCATCCTATAATATTGTTCCTCTTCCATATTCCTCCAACTAACTTGATTCTGGTTCAACTGTTGTGAACGTAGGTAAGGACTACGAGATTGTGCATCCAGAAAGAATTGCTGCGGATCAGATGTTAGAGGAAACTGCAGACCAGGGCCAGGCACATTGGAGAGGAACTGAAAACCTTGCACTGCATGAGCTAGAGGAACAGCAGAAGATAAATTTTCCATAGGCTGTGAATAGACAACCTGGGGTTTCTTAAGCTCTTCAGAATTGAATTTTGACATATTTGAACTTTCTTGGCCTATTTTTGTCACATCAAACTCATAAAAGCCACAAGGTGTGTTATTCGGTGTTTGGAAAGAGGGAACGACCATGACTGGAGTATCTAAATCGGAAATATGCGTCTTTAAGCTGTTTGGGATTTGGCCATTCAATGAAAAGGAGAAGTTCTGCATGGATTTACAAGTTTCCTCGTGACTTCCAGCTTCCATAGTGACCCCACCATCAAAGCTCAGTCCTGCAAATGCAGATGTTAAGGATCGGTCATCAGGCAGATTTGTCACCTCTGGCTGACCCCTTTCCACAGGTGATTTCTGAATTTTCTTCACTGAGTTCTTTCCCTCATTCCGCCTGCCGTTGTTATGGAGTTTCTCACTTAAAGGCCCTTTGTAGGAGTTCACACAGATGGGAGACAAGCTTCCATTCAGAGACACACTTTTAGTTCCAGATTCCTCAGAATGTGGGTTCACATAAGTAGCATTTGGTATCTCTCCAAGAAGCTTCTCGAATTCATCAAACTCTAGTTCAGTTCTTCCTTCTTCCATATCGTATTCACAGTCTGTTTAAGAATGCCCTCTGGCAAACAGAGCAAGCACTAGCAGGCAAGCCAACTCCACAGATAAACCCTTCAATTCAGCAAGATTTTCTTTATAACTCAAAAGAACCACACATGACATAAGTACAAAATTCAGCAAATGCAACACCAACGTCACTCGAAGCCATCCAATACTTAAAATAATCCTAGAATATTTAAGCAAATTACAACTCACAGTTTACAAATATAAACACCCAGAATTTCAATATGAAATACAAAAATCCGCAATCTAATAAAAATCACTTTGACTAGAGCAAATGATCATAAAAATGTACCGTTTTTAATGAATGTTGCAACCCAAAAATAGGCTCTTGCCACCAAAATCTCCCTACCCATAAGTGAATGTTGCAAAGTAAAAAAAACACGGCATAGAATAAACAACAGAAAGACCTATGTAAGCATGAGACAATTTGTAGACCGCAAAATCAATGAATGCCAACCCCAAGTCGGAAAACAGAGTCCACAAAATGCATCAAAACCATTAGGATCATCACAGAAATAAAAAATTTAATATAAAAAAAACACATTTTCCTCGATTCTTACGTACGAAACAAAGAAAAGGGTTGATCAATCGGATTGCTTTGAAAAATCACATTAAACAAAAAGTAAGGAAAAACATACCCAAATTCGATGGTTGATCAAATGTGAGAAAACCCAGATGATCCTGATCATCAAGAAGCCAGTGCCAAATTCAGAATTCAGAATCACAAAAATATCAAAACTTTACAAAACGATATATCGGAAATATGGAAAATAAACAAGAAAAAAACAAGAGCAGGCCCGAGTAAACATAACAGAAAGAACAATGCAGAAGAAAGAGAACCCAATAAGTGATTGAAACAAAGAAAAGAAGAAAGAAGAGAGACGTACGTGGGAGTGAGAAAAAGGCAATGAGGGGCAGTGGTATCAGAGTGAGAGAGAAAACAGAGACATATACAGAGAGAGGAGCAAAGAGAGAGTGTTTGGGAGAGAATTGGAGAAGAGAAAGAGGGTGTTTTTGGTAAATTAAAACAAAAGGGAAGTGCAAAGGGAGTGACAGTGTGTGGGTGTGTTAATAAGTGTTGTTGGTGAGGTGAGGATTGAGAGAGAGAGAGAGAGAGAGAGAGAGAGAGAGTGAGGCGGCGTGAAGAAGAAGGAGAGGTTTTCAATGAGAGAAAGAAAGAGATGGCATTTGGCAAACTCGCTCACACACACACACACTCTCTCTCACATCACCTACACATACACAGAGAGAAGGAGAGAGACCCACACACCAACCAACAACTCCGAACCCATATTGCCATTTTCATGCATGGAAACGGAAAAATGAGAGAAAATGTAGAAGAAAAAAAAAAGGTAAAATGGAAATGTGGGAATGGGAATGGCTCTTTATTCTTGTTTAGTTATATGATCCATGTTACATGTTCTTTGCTTTCTGCCTCTGCCTCTCTCTCAGTCTCTCTCTTTGGCACGCTTTTTGGGTTGCGTACGTAATCACATTTCATAGTGTTCTCTTATTATAAATGCTATTTTTGAGTTAAAAAATAGACTACTGACTTGAAGACTTGGTCGTCTTCTAGTTGTAGGCTTGTACTGATATTTAGAAAGAAAGAAAATAAAAATAAAAAGGTTGTAGAAATAAGAAATCCTAAAATAAAAAGAAAAAACCTTAAAGTTGTTGAACTAGAAGCATTATAGCATTTAGGATTTCACTTTCACCCACCATCCTCCAAGAGTCCAAGAGTCCTAGAGCCTAGAGATTAATTATGTGAACAAAATACAAAGAATACAAAGGGAGGGCATCTTTCTCTGGTTTGTTACGTGTTTCCAAATTATTACAAGAGGAAGGATGAATTGACAATGCCATACTCTACAAGAGTCAAGAGGAAGGCCTATTGCCTTGGCCTTTTTGTTATGTAGCTTCTGCCTCAATTTAGTAAATAATTTAAGTGACGAAAGAGAAAAGCATAATAGCCTCCACCGCACCTCTATTCCCTTAATGAATGAAAACAAGAATATAACGCATATAAATAAATATATAATAAGGCTGTCAAGTCCACCCTTCAAATCTTAACAATAATAATATCACCTAAATATTCTAATTTAATGGCTTTTGATTTCAAAAAAACAGAATATTTAATTTAATACGTGGACATGGCCAAAAGATTTGTGAGTTGAGTTGCTAGTTCTAAGTTAGACTTTGGAAAGCGGGGTGGCGGGCCGTTCGGATCGGATCGGATCCTCCTCAACTGTTTGTTTGTTTGTTTGTTGTAACTTAATTCTATTTACTATTTAAACCCTTCCATAACGTCTTCAATATTCATGAAATAATTATTTCTCTCATAAACTGTTAGTTGACTTGAAATAATAATCCTTTGGTCGAATAAACTAAAATCAGCTAAAAACTCTGTTGGTTGGTTCTGAGTCCTGACCTGTTCAACTTCTTCAACCGCGGATTCCAAGTGGTTATGCGATGGTTGCGAGCTGCAATCCCTAACTATACATCTTCTCTATTACAATTTACATGCACCATAAAAAATACTTACATTTCTCACATTGTCATTGCCATCCCATGCATTAGATTACTCTTGAATTGAATGGTTAAAGCATCCAACACATATTTGAGTTAGGCCGGCTAGTTGGCCAAATCAAGTTCGATCCTTCATCTCATACATTAGAATAATTTCGAATATCGTTTTCTCAACACAGTTACACACACAAAACAAACAAAAAAAAGGGATAGAATATCTAGCAGATTGAAAATATTTTTCCTCTGTCGTTTTGGTTGTAGAAATAAAAGCATTTCCAAAACCCATTTGCATTGCTATTATTTTCCATATTCGATATTTTAGCTTTTCCTTTTTTAGGCCACTGGAGGATAATTATACAAGTGACACCTTCCTTCCTTCCATATATTATGATATAACTTATACGAGAAGAGAAAGAGCCGGTCAATTACTGGGGAAGGGATCTGCGTAAGGGAGGGATGAATGCTATGCTTGCACTAATACTAGAATTGAATTCGGTTCATACTATAACTTAATGACACCACACAACTCACTCTCACATAAAAACACGCATCAACTCTGGGTTGCTCACCTAATCAATCACCATATATATTTATAAACATTCAATGCAGCATCTTAATCTCATCACCAAACCCTGTTTTCTGGTTTCAACACTTGCAATTCCACTATGTGCTCATCAAGAATTCAAACACCGGGTTTCAGGTTTCATAAATAAACCAAACTAAACCAAAGTCTAAAAGAATTCAAACACACACACAGCATGAAAATTTCTCCCATTGAAATTATATTTGCAGTGATTGGAATCGTACACTGAACTGAACTACTACTGCAATTCAACATCTGCCGCACTCCCAGTAAGCTAATCTCACCGGAATCTTTTATGTATAAAAAAATGGCTCCAACTACTATCTTCATTCTTATAACTTGTTGCCACTCATCCAGGTTGATCCTGTTCACTCCTCTTCACCACATCCTAGTTATTCTCGATCAACTCTAGTACCCGTAGCCTGTCACAGTTAGAGCAAATAGTTGGACAATTGTATTTTGAGCCAGAGAAAAGCTGAGAACAGGCAGCAATAGAGAATTTGGGCTATTTTAGATTAACTACAAACCTGAATTGTCCATGGGGTTGCCAGCAGGCACTGCTGCTTCTGGCTCTTTAATCTCAACAACTACACAGTCTGACATTAAGAAAGTTTTTGCAACAGAGGATGCGTGTTCTAGGCAACATCTCACCACCTGAACATTGAAAAACAAAATCCATAAATCAGTTCAAATCACTGCAAATCTAGCTGCAACACATGAAGTTGAGACTCAGTTTCCAGGCACACACAAATCCAATACAGCTACACACTAGAGTACCTCATGCATCAAGTAAAATTATCTAGAAACAACCTATCAGGCATCTGGAACCACCTATGAAGACAGCACTAAACTCCCAACCTACCACTTCCAGTTAAATTACTCGAGAATTTAGCTAAACCAACAAAACTAAGCCTTTCACTAGCACTCAGGATCAGTTACACAGTTCATTCATCACCATTCAAATAGCCAAGAGCATAAACGCAGCCAAATCCATATACACGATGTACATGACGGCTCCAGAACAGAAACTCACCTTGGTTGGATCAATAATTCCAGCAGCCATTAAATCTTCATAGTTTCCAGTAGCAGCATTGTATCCGTACTTAGGATTGTCACTGGAAAGCACCTGAAAAAGGAGATTTCAACTTATTAAACATACATAGAAATCAGATAGTAACATAGTACATAAAGCCAAACGAAAGAATACCTTCTCACTGACGACACTTCCATTTACACCAGCATTCTTGGCAATTAACTTCAGGGGGTAACTAAGAGCTCTTTTAACTATATCTGCCCCAACCTGTAATTTACCATATGGTTTGAGCCTTGAGCAGACCAAATAAATCTAAAGTAAAAAAAAAAAAAAAATCTTTTAGTGGGAAAAAAACTCTATCCTGCATATCCAATAATCAATAAAATTTCTGCCATTGTCAGAATCTTCTGTTGACAAAACTCAAAAGATTGAGGGAGTTCAATGCGCTATAGATAAGTTACCTTTTCTTCATCATTATCAAGAGTTTCCTTGATTGCATCAACCTTTGATGCCAACCTCAGAAGGGTGCATCCACCTCCAACAACAATACCTTCCTCAACAGCTGCCTGGACAATTACAAAAATTTTAAATTTCTGCTGGTTTCTTTAATGTGCAAAAGACCAGATGAAACAAAACTTAACAGGGATATAATTTAAAAAGATTTAGTGTTGTGAATTGTTTTACCTTTGTTGCATTCAGAGCATCTTCGACTCTCAGTTTCTTTTCTTTCAGCTCTGTCTCAGTTTGTGCTCCAACCTTTGAACATTCAAGAAAAAGTTAATACAAATGAATTCCCATTGGTACTACATTGTAATCCAAATCATCTACAAGTATTTAGAAACCAACCTGAATTACAGCAACACCACCGGATAGTTTTGCAATCCTTTCATTAAGTTTTTCTCTTTCATAGTCCTGCTCTGCCGCCTGCATATATAGTTTAACTTATTAAGGCTATAAGACTATGACAACAAAGAATTACAAACAACTTCTGTAAGCAATTGTGGATGTGAAGGTGAGAAAGAGGGTTTCACCTCAATAAGGTTCTTAATTTGGGCAACTCGCTTGTTAACAGCTTCCTGGGTACTTCCATCACCAACAATCGTGGAGGTATCCTTTGTAAGCACCACTTTCGAAGCATGGCCAAGGACCTCCTTTCCAACATTGTCTAATGTGAGCCCTACCTCCTCTCTGATGACAGTTCCTATATGCAAATTAACAGCATCTCAATATCACATTACAATCCGAAAACAAGAACGGAGACTCATATGTTATACCACCCTCCCATTCACACAGGAAAGAAAAACTTTACTATCAGCACAGCACAAGACACCTTGGGCAAGATGAGACAAAAATGAATGATAGATGTAAAAATACCTCCAGTCAGAATAGCAATATCGTCAAGGTACTGGCTCTTGCGCTCACCAAACCCAGGAGCTTTAAGGGCAGCAATCTTTAGAGCTCCCCTAAGCTTGTTTACAACAAGAGTTGCAAGAGCTTCTTGTTCAATGTCTTCTGCAATGATTATAACTGGGTATCCTCCTCTTATAGCTTCCTCCAAAATGTTAATGAGGTCCCTTGCATTTGTTATTTTTTTATCAACAAGAAGCAACTGCACAAATAACATGTTCAAAAGTTACTTCCATCATCCAGTAAAAAGAAGGAAAAAAAAAACTTGTGATAGCAATTGAACACATTACCTTGCAGTTCTCATATTCAACGGCCATTTTCTCACTGTCAGTGACGAAATAAGGTGAGATATAACCACGATCGAATTGCATTCCTTCTACAACATAGAGGCTGTTCTCAGCACTTTTTCCCTCTTCAAGGGTCACCACACCCTTCCTACCCACCTTGCTCAAAGCTTCAGCAATCATGTTTCCTACTTCATAGTTGTTTCCTGCACTAACTGCTGCCACATCTGCCAGCTCACTGTCTTCAACCTGCAATGAGTTGTAAATTGATCTTGTTCTGGAGAAACTTAAGGAATATGAAGCAATGAAAAGATGCGACAAAACCATGATGATACCACCACAAGGTAAATGATTGAGAAACAATTAACTTGGAGATCAATTCACACTACCTCTTTGGACATTGACTTAAGCTCGTGTACCAGAGCTTTGGTGGTCTTCTCAATGCCACGTGTGATTAAAACAGGGTTAGCCCCAGCTGCAACCACCTGAACAATTGAACTCGGTTAACAGAAGTGACCTTGAGTCTTGACAGAATGACTCTTAACAGAATGCAATTAGAGAGATCATGGTACAAACCTTGACACCTTCAGCAATAAGACCTTGTGCAAGAACAACAGATGTTGTTGTCCCATCACCAGCTAGGTCATTAGTCTTGGCTGCCGCCTGTCTCACTAGCTTAGCTCCAATGTTCTCAACAGGATCCTCCAACTCAACCTTTAAAGGCAGAAACGAACAAAGTGAATAACCCAAAATTGCAATGCCTAAATGACCCGTGAAAACTGGGATAAACTCAAAATTACAATATCATAGAAAGTGAATAAGCATCATTTCAATTTTTTTATTTAAGGGGAGAGGACAGCAATTAGCTCATAAGCTTCGCCCAACTCAAAACATACTGCTATAATCTCAGAGTAAATGCAAAAGGAAAAGAAAGAAAAAAAGCTTTGATGCTTAATATGTAAAACAATTTTAAGCTCATACGCTATACTACAGAGCAAAGCAAAAATGAGAACGGTCGATAGCTTTAAACTAGTTCTATCAGAAAATGTGACTGTAAACAAAGAATGGGATCACATACCTCTTTTGCGACAGTCACACCATCATTAACAATTTTGGGGGAGCCATACTTGCTCTCTAGAACGACATTCCTACCCTTTGGACCAAGTGTAACCCCAACAAGGTCGGCAAGCTTGTTGACACCAGTCTGTAGAACAAACAGAATGAATGTTAGAACGTATACATAAGACGCACCAATGCATTAAAACAAAAAATAGCATCCTTCCTGTTCAGAAGACTCACTTGTAGTTTCTTAATGGCTGAACCATCCTTGTTGAAATGCAACTCCTTGGCCATGGCACAGATCCTAGGAGATCGTGTCCTCCTTAGAACTACATTGTGCCTCCTAGAGAATGAGAATGGAGAAATGGACGCACGAGATGACAAGTTGTCGAATTTCCTATCAATCACGCGGCTACAAGGAGCAGCCAAGGAGCCAACTGAAGTCATGGCTGCAAAAGTGGATGCCATCTCTACCCCTGTAAAAATTGAGAACATCAGAAATTGTATAACTCAATAGTTGTTGACATTGTAGAAATTGATAACATCATAAAGGAAAAGATAAAGACCAAACAACAATATATAAAATATGAGATGAAATTGATTGCTAGTAAGCTATAGACAAAAGGCAGCTAGACAAATTTCTCGTAGTATATCTAATTAAACGCAAATGGGTCCTATTTTTTCTTTCCGGTCATAAAAAGCAATTTCATTTCATTTCATTTTAACTGTATTATCGAGATGAATTAATTAAAACGAGGAAACACAACGCAGAGAACAAACACAAGCTGCAAAAATAAATTGAAAAAGTGAAGATTAAACACACAATCCTAAGCTTCAGTTGGCCGGAAGCTTCAGCCAAGAGGGGCATGGCAAGCCACCTCTCAAAAGCGCCATAACGAGAGGATAAAGACTTGTGTAGTTGTATCAGCAAAATAATATGAACAAAATAAGGCAACAGAGCATAGAGAGAGGGAGAGAGAGAGAGAGAGAGAGAGAGAGAGAAGGTTTGAAGAGGACTCACCTTACAACCAAACAGTCGAGTGGATGGAGAGTGGGTAGATTTAGGTTGAGAAGAAGCAGCAGCTCTGGTTTGGGTTTAGTGGGGTTTTTGGATAAGACCGAAGGAGAGAGAGAGAGAGAGAGTGAGGGTGTGAAATGCAATGTTATGCAGTTATAGTATGTTGGCGACTGATGGATGGATGGACAGATGGGGTTAGGTTTACCTCTAGGTATTCATAAGAATAAAGCACTCCACTGCCTGCCCTTGAGCTCTTGAAGCTTCCAGACTCAAACTCAATCTGGACCGTTGGACCCCTTTCCTTTGTCCTTCTTCCGAACACTCCAGAACTTTTTTTTTCTTTTTTTCATAAGCATTTTCTCTCCGTTTTGTATTTTGTCTCCTGCGATTTCCTAATGACTTGGGATTGGGCTCAAATTCTTGCACATTTTCAATTTAGAGTTGGGCAGGGGCCCATTTGATTTGGTATTCTTAGGTTGGAAAATTGATTGGGTTGTTTTGATGTCTTTCCTACATCTTCGGGCTCGTATTCTGAATGATGATAGATTATGCCAGATGTCGGCCCGATTTGGTTGCTGGGCTCCTTCTAACCCACAGACTTCGGTTGTAACAAAAAAAACATCAATTTACAAGAAAGGGAATAAGCACCGTTGTTAAAGGTTCAACTTTACTTTAGAAGCAACGAGTGTTAATAAAGAACGGACTTACCTATTTTAACATTCCAAATTGTTGAAGAGGCTGTTGGAAATGCTCTTATTATTTATGAAATATCAACAATTCGTTTTTTAATATATGAAAAAAGAATGGAGTTGTAGGGGTCTTTTTGTTCCAGCAGCTTGACGAATGGGCTGGGCTGCCGTAAGGAGCGAAAATGGGTGAAATTACCCCTTATGTATGAGTTCAAAGATCAAGCCCCAAGAATGCTTCGAAAGAACAGTGAAGCCTTAGGAAACACTCCGGTTACCTTCACCAACAAAAACAACATCTGCTTACAGATAGATTTTTAACTTGGCATGAGAAGCTTGTGGCATGGGAGCAAAACCATCATGAGTTTAGCATAAACACAGAGAGAGAGCTGTGAATTCCTATGAGAAACAAGGGTTCTCAGGAAAGGGAAGTGATTCTAAGAAGGTTGGCTAAGGGGGTAGAGAGATGGGGAATAATGAGTGTGTTAAACAGTTTCCGGTAGCCTGACAGAGACTCTGTCAATGCTACAACAATCTGCCAGAAGAGGGAAAATTAGGGAGAATGGTGAATAGAGCACGAATTTGCTGGGTTTTGCAGGTGAGAGAGGAAGCTTGCTCTCCATATGTGGGTTGCCTTTGATGGGTAGAAGATGGCCCCTTTTATAGCCAATTTGGCCAAATTTTTCCCTCCCTTAATTTTTCCCTCCCTTTCTCTTCTCTTCATTTGACTCATCCTATTTGGTGAAATTCTCTCTGCCCAATTGCACAAAAATAGGATTTGGGTAGCTCTAGGATTTTCCTGCAGCTGTCCCAGTGGGGAATGCCCACTTTCAGCTATCTTTCTTCCTTCTTTTCTTCCCTTTTCTATGACTAGATCTTATGGGGGAAAGAAATAAGTATGTACGCTAGTGTGAAAGGTGTTTTGCTCAAGTATTCTTTGGTTTTTTGGATGACTTGTGTTGGGATTTGTCTTTGGCCATGTGCTGGAGCCTCCAAGTAGCCCACACATATGGATAGCTTTGGTTTTTGTTGTTGTTTTTGTCTCCAGCCATGTGCTGGAGGCTTGTAGATATTTTCTTGGTTTGCTTGGGCTTTCTTAAGGTGATAGGTAAGCCTACTAAGGGAATGGGCTAATCTTTTCAAGTGATGGGCTATTTTATTAAGGTGATGGGTTAATTTTTCTAGAGTGTTGGGCTTCTTTTTTCTCTCTCTTTTTATGCTTACCCACATATTTGGGCTCAAGAAATGGGCTTGAGTTTTGGGCTCCCAAGAAACCCGAAACTTCCATTTCTCGGCTCATCAATGGGCCTCATGAAAGCTCGTTACCATCCATACCACAACCCACTCAGCAAGCCCTGGGTATTTGTGTGGCTAGGTGTAAAATAATGATCTTCCGCTTGGCATGGTATGTCGATTGGCGTGCTCGAATTTTATCCCCTTTAAAAAGGGACATGAGGCTCGACAGGATAATTAGCATGAGCTTGTAGAACTAGTGCATTTTATAGGCTTATTTCAATTCTTAGCTTGACGGATTGAACATTTATTTGACATGGCACATGGATCGTGGCTCGTGCAAGCGTGCATGAAGAATTTCACATGGTCCGAACCGGGTTTCTTCTTAATAAGGTGTGGCACTGGACCGAGAATTTATTTGGGCCTAGCCTTGAATTTTTTGGGCCTCAACAGGAGTCATAGCCAAACTATAAATGATATTCATGCTCTAAGATTATCATTTTGCATTTATTTTGTGAGTATTTTAGAATGATACAATACTGGCTACACCTACTGGCAGATGAACATAGTTTGCCTCTCATTCAGAGCTCCTGAGATTCTATCATCCCACATTTTCTTTCACTGGTATTATAATAAGAGAATTGTTGTCTTCTGTTTATAAACATGACTTGGACGAAACGCATAGGGACAGATACACATAGGATCCCGAGCGTTTGTATTTAGAGTCCATGCATTTATTTGTATTTTGCAAAATCTAGAGCATTCAAATAATCTAATGCTTGTGGGGAGGCCAGATCAGCTACGGTTATTTTTCCCCAAATTGATGATAATGACACCCCTCTTTCTAACGGAAACACCACCTCTTTTTTTGAACGGGTAACGCCACCTCTTTCTTCTATCGTTCTGAAAAAAAAACCACCACCTCTTTCTTCTATCGTTCTGGAAAAAACCCCATCTTCATTTGCTAAAAATTGAATTAGAAGAAGACAAATTATGGCGACAAATGAAGAAGAGAGACGGGGCTCAATACCATCCAGGAAGGGCTGGAAGGAAATCTAACAACCAAGCCCATTCATCAAATGCTCTTCCTCGGGACTTGTCGTCTGTATTGAAAATGATAGACATAAATATCTTCTCTAAAGATTGATCTGATTATATGCATCCAATCAGAATCAGAATAATTAATGAAATTACTAGCCTTGTATATCAAACCCCATACATGTTTGAAAAGGAGATAAGTACCAGTCACAGTACGTATTATCAACAAGAGAATATTGCTTTTATATTGATATTTACGCCAAGTTACAATAATCCAGTTACAAGTTATCATCACAAAACCATGTTTAACCAATGATTAAAAAGGAAAGAAAAAAGGAAGCTGTATCTCTTCTCAGATACACACAAAAGAAGCTATTAATGCAACAAAAAAAAAAAACTCTCTTTCTAAACAAACCAAAGACACATTACAGTGAATCTTCTTTCGTTTTAGTTTCAGCAGGAAACTGGCTAACCTCTATTATAGTTTTTTCAGCAGAAACTTCCTCAGGGACCTGCAGAGGTTCCAAAGAGTCTACAATGTCTCGCATTAGAGGCCTTGCTTTTGGGTTTCGGTTCAAGCAATGATAAACTAGCATGGCTGCCTTATGAACTCCTTTAGTAGGATAATCTCCTTCTAGTCTCGGATCAACGATGTTGAGCAATTTCTTCTTCTCTTTGAGCATGGGGAGAGCCCAATCAGTAAGATTTTGTTCCCGGGCTGGCCGTGACTTGTCTAAAGATTTTCTTCCAGTCAGCAGTTCGAGAAGAACAACACCAAAGCTATAAACATCACTTCTTGGAGTTAGATGGCCTGCACACAGAGATAGATAGTAACTATGTCAGAAAGTCACTTAAAGAGAATATGAGGCCATCACTTGATCTTTAGTTCCCCAACACGAGTTCAAATGCCATGTTTAACAGTGAAACACTGACGTTGGATGTTATGGGGAACAAAATGGAATGATTTTGTCTCTATCTGGTTCGCAAAGACCTTCCGAATGCCAAAAGAAAAAAAGTGCCTTAATTTGTGATAGGACTTACCTGTCAAGATATACTCAGGTGCGGCATATCCATACGTCCCCATTATGCGTGTAGAAACATGAGATTTATCTCCCACCGGTCCATCTTTCGCAAGGCCAAAGTCAGAGAGCTTTGCATTGTAGTCCTGTTTTGCATATGCAAAGAAAGTGCAACTGTAAGTTTTAGCAAGCGAATTGCAATTACTTGGAAGAGCAATGATACCTACGCTGCAGTAATTCAAATTAGCTCATCACACCAATCCATGATAATTTTTCTGACCGCTCGAAGAATAATAAAAGTCATACAAGTGCAACTGATATAGTAATTGGTATTTGGTACTCTAGGACATGATCATTGCGAACTTAAGTAGGAGCCGATTGTAAAACAGAGTTGAATCTGACATTGTTCTCATGCTGGAGATTGTTCTCCATCCATGACTAGCTAACCCTTGGTAATTTTGTTCTTCATGCATTTTTTTATATGATAATATAATAGCATTACCATCTAAACCATCAAATTTCACAAGCCTCGTAGTACTGAACATTCTCAAATTATCAATCTGAGTTCAATTAATTTTGTTTTCTTTAAAAGAAAAGGTGAAGTATACCAACCAGATCCAACAGAATATTAGATGTCTTAAAATCACGATAGATGACAGGTTTCTCAGCTTCATGGAGAAAGGCAAGTCCTTTAGCTGCGCCAAATGCAATCTTCATCCGTATGGACCAAGGCATAGGAAGCAGCACTCCTGAGAAAAGGCAAACATGCATGTGAGATACAGTCTTAAGTTAGTAATAGGCCCACAAAATTCACCAATTAATGTTTAACGGCTTCACTTTTAACAGATTTCACAATATATAAGGTTTGTCTTAAAACAGGTCTCTTTCCTTTATTTCTTTTACTTTTCATTTTCATATTTTGATCATCTCATAACAACTTAAATCACTCAATCTTTGGCATAACAATTGGAAATTGGACGAAGTCCTGTAATTCCTGTTTGTGATAGGTCATCTTTTTAAGGGGTCATTTCTAGCTGAAAGCAACTTTCACAGATCATAGTGAGATATCAATAAATTGTGGCACCTTATGTATTGTCATTCTAGAATTTATCTTTCCGTTTTATGGTCATTCTTTCTTTTAATTGCCTTTGCATCATATTACAAAAAGAATTAATGTCATAAGATGTTCATTCCAAACCCTGTAGTGTCATCAGGCAAATAATGATATCATCCTGCAGCTTGGGTAGAATTATGTGCAAAGGTTCATCAAGAGAAGACAGATGCAAGGAGAATAAATAAAATGAAAAAGGCATTTTCTTAAATCCTTGTGCCTGGTCAATCATATTGCTGTTTCATTGTTATTTTTCGTCATCCCATTCAATTTTCCCTTCAGGTAAAAAAAAATAAAAATCTTTTGTCCCTAATTCTCTCTGCATTTACATATAAATCAGATAACTCTTTTTAGGGATATAAAATGCTTGGTTACTTACTTGAAAATAAATTGTTTTCCACACTTCCCCGAGCCATATACTCATATATCAGCACCCGCTGTTCATCCTCGCAGCAATATCCAATGAGCTTTACCAAATTTGGATGAGAAAGCTGCCCCAAAAATATGACTTCTGCCTAGAAATGCACAAACCTCTTAATGAAACTGATGTTTGTATCTTTTATTTGATCTTCTTAATGGGTTAAAAGTTAGAACACAAAGCTTACCAGCCATTCTCTGTGTCCTTGATAACTGTTATCACCGTCATGAACTTTAACAGCTACAGCAAGGGGGGAAATCCCCTCTCTTAAATCCTCAGTGATGAACCCTTTATACACACTTCCAAATCCTCCACCACCCAACATGTGATCTTGCCTAAAATTTCCAGTGATTATCTTCAGCTCACTGAATGTGAATGCAATCAAAGGATTTGCAGCTGAATCACGGCGTAGGATCTCAACCTCTTCAGGATTCGATGGTAACTTACTATCATCTTCCCTAGGATTCACCGAGGGGCTCTGGTCTTTTGGGGACTCTGAAAAGAAAGTTGAGCGTATAACATCACACATCCAACCATCCAATCTAACAAGCAGCAAAAGTCAAAGCTTTTTGTCCCGGATGAACTTGAAAATGCATCATGCATAAAGAACTAAGTAAAAGAACAAGAACAAAAATTCTTTGCAGATTCGAGTGAGCACTTTCAACTTTTTGAAGGTTACATGAAATTCTTTTTACATACCAAAATCAATACTCTACAGCAATAAAGGTAGAAAATTCCATTACAGTCATGAAGAGATTACAAAATACTGATACATAATATTTGATAGCAACAAAATGTGAAATATTTAATCTGCTATGCAAGTTAGTAACTCTAGTCACAATTTATACAAGAGAGAAAAGAAAATCTTTGACAGTCGTCATATGGACCGGGAGGAAGCTAAAAGATTACTAATTTCATAAAGTAAAGAGGCATATAACTAAAAGTAGAAGGAAAGGGAAAATTTTAATTTTGAGCCAAAAAGAATATACTTTCAGAAACTCATTAGAGTGAACTTCTACTATCAAGACAAGAATCAAGGCATGAGGAGTATCCACTTCCAACAGGAAAGGTAAATCTATTACCTTTTTAAGAGGCCATAGAGAAAAGGTGAAAAGGTATATCCTGTTCATTTGTTTTTTCCTCTAAACATATAGGATTACAAAACAAATCCAACAAAAACATGTTGCCTACATAAATAACAGCAAAAACTAATGAAAAATACAGAAGCACAGAAAGTTTTATATTTTGACCAGTCGATATATCTCAGTCCGAAAAGGAAAAAGGATCTTTTTGCATATCGCTATGTAAATACTCTTAAAAATAAAACTTTTCATAAGATAGTCAAAATCAATTTGATTAATGACTTATGTATTGAGTTTCTTGTACGAGGAAGAACAGCACACAAATCCACAACTTATACATGAGGATCCAAAGCAGAGAAAAACAGAGCATGATTATTTGAACTAAGGTTCTACTCCAATCGCTCACTAATCTAATGAGAAAAGCAACAGAAATGCAAACTCTCTCCAAAATAAAGCATACTGACAAACCCATTTAGAGAAAATTACAGAAAGAAAGAAACAAAAAAGAGATTTATGAGGACCAACCTGACTTTGCATTGGAAGAGACTCTGTAAACTGAAGGCTCCCACCTGAACCAACAGTTACCCATTATACCGAAACCAGAAACAGCCAAAGTCCAGTTCCTCACCAGCCACCCATCACCACAACTAAGGTTAAGTTAGGCTTTCAGAAGGATGAATTAGACCCAAATGAAAAGCAAAGAAAAGAAGAAAAGAAAATTCCAAAAACAAAGATACAGGAGTAAGAGAATGGGTAATTGTTTTCTTGCGACTTTGTGTGGATGGTACAATTGTTGATGAATGAGAGAAAGAGTAAGAGAGAATTCTTGATGGTAATGATGGGGTGAGGGGTTGAGGTGGGTGCTGGTTCTTGGCCATGGCAGAAATGGGCCCACATAGTCGGAGGGTTTTATTTTTGTTTTGATTCAAAAATATATATAGAGTGCTTTCTTCTCAGTGCGCAATGCGCATATATAAGGTGGATTTCAATTCCCACCAATCTTTTTCCATCATTCTCCAATACATTCCCTCTTTTTTCTCTTTTCCTTTATAAGCCCAATATGCCTTCTTTTTCGGCCCCTTGTTCACACTCTTCTTTAGTATCACACTAGCAGGAAGGTTGCTAGTCAGTTGCTTGCTACTATAACTTACCTAACATTCATTCTTAATAAAATTCTAATGGGTAATTTATCTGAACATATATTAACATATAGACCAACCCACTTTTGAAGTATATAGTGGATAATCAGCTTCTCCCATTATCATAAATAAAGTATATTCATATATCTTCCACTCATTTCATTTGGCTTTTAGCCATAAACTTGCTCAAACAAGTACTAAAAGACTTCAAGAAAAAGGTATATAGCCCGCAAACTATCATGTGAAAAAGTAAGTTTTTTATGTCTACTTAAGATAAGTACATAGTAGTTTGCTTCCTTGCAAAATAAAAGAACAAGAAATATTAATCTAAAAAATCATCTAGTCTGATATCTTTTTACCTTGCTATTCATGGCAAATTATTCCTTTCTCCTCATTATCAGGAAAAAAGAAAAAAGAAAATGATTTCTTTGTCCTCTAATCTTGGCTCACAAGACTGTCCAAAATAAATTCTTGACTGACACCATTTGAGAGATAAAGACAAGATGTGCATTTATATCTCAATCTATATCTATTCCTTTTGGTGAGAATCTATTGCTCTGTTTTGTCTTCCTCTTATAGAAGACGTAGGAATTATGAGAGGTGTGTAACAAACTGTCACCAAATTTTATGCAAGTTCTCTAAGAAGATGTCACTTTTAAAGCAATTTATCTTCAGAATATAAAAGAGTAAAAGTTTCATGACAGTTTTGTATCACAGTTTGAAAGCAATTTATCATAAGCTTGACTTTTGCATCACAGTTTGTTTGTTTTAGGTAGACATTAGAGCATTGTTTGTTTTAGGTAGACATTAGAGCATTGAATCTGGAGTTGATGGAAGGAATTTTATGTCTCTGCAGTGCAGCACTGTGCAAGTACATGTAAGTACAAAAAGGCTGCTGTAAATAAAGGCGTGTTGTCGAAGTTGCATGTTTATATTATAATCTTCAATTTCAACAAATATCAAAGTCACAGCTTTCAACCGTATACTTTTCTTGCAGAAAGATTTTGGTTTTCTGGTGGATTCTTCTCTTTTAAAATATCCCAAGTTAATTAGCCAGCTAGTACAATACATGTAAGGCTGGCTGATATTGATGCACGCGTAAACTACTACATAGCCTTTGCAACTATTTTGTGCGTGTGTGTGTGACATGACAGATAGAGAGCTTGATAATTGACTCTTCTTCTGAGGATGGTTCTTCTTCAGCAGCTTGTACTAGTTTGCCAAGGAGAGAAGTCAAAGTGAAAAGGAAGGTGTTAGTGAATGGTGGGGTCCAATCCAACCTCATCCTCATGCTCTACAATCTAAAATCTATAGAATCTATATATCTCATATATGGTGCATATAATATTGTCCCTTGTTGTTTTGTTTTGGAGTCTGGAGGAGATGAAGAAGGTGACCACAGATTGACATGGATGGAAGAAGGCAAGCTAACCACCGCTTTCTCCCGCATGCTCATGCTCTACGTCTGCCAACACGTGCAGTGCAGTCAATGTCAATGTCTTTATCTATTCATAATAATGTGTTTATATATCTAATAATCATAATCTAATTAACATATATCCATTAACTATAATGTACTTGGAGAATGATAGCTGTAAATTTAGATTTACCATCTTGCTTCTAAACCAAAATTACAATTACAAAGCACTTTTCACTAATACTGTGACTATTTGAAAATCAATCATTGCACACTACTTGCATCTATCCGCTCCAGTTGCCTAATTGAATACTTTGATTACAAATTGGTCCCATCTCTGCAAAACACAACAGCTTGCCAATTTGTTTTAATTTGGATAGTTATCAAGCTTGAGCTGGGGTAAATGAGTCATTTTCTGATATTTTAGATCATCATCATTAATTTTCAGGATTGTTTGTTCAATCCTTAAAAGCCATGCAGCTAATTAAAGCACACCAGCTTCTTTGTGCTAGCAAGCTATACCAGACAAACACAGAGCTGGTTGGGAACTTCAACTCCTTAGTTTTGTTTTGCAGGATTTAAAACTCAAAGGACTCATCTGCACTTGCCTTTGATTAATTCTATACCTGCCCGTGTTCAGACAAACACAGAGGTTGGAGTCTGGAGAGACTTCAAAGTTGTGTTTATACAATGAAAATGTATAAAAGAACTGCTAGGTTAAGTGGCTTTAGAGAGAACATCTCAAACCTAACCTTGATAGAACTCTACATATCAACTTCTCTCTATCTAGAAAGAAGATGATATCTCTTTTCCATTATTGAATCACTTTCTTGCTAATTTGCACTGTGAGCCAAATTCATATATATGCTTCTGTACAAAACGATGAATAACCAAAATTTCTTTCTATTTTTTCTTTGGAACACAAAGCATATTTACATGTGAAAATGTGATATGCTAATTTTGCAGCAATGTCTTCTTCAGTTTTTTTTTTAATCACATCAAACATTATAGTTCTGGAAGGTGAACTGATCTTAATTAACCATAGAATTTAAGCAACTTTTTATTGCCACAAGAAAGATATTTATGTAGCACTTGAAATTCCTGCTAATCAAAGCAAACTAGATGTATGCTTTATATCAATCATATTATGATGCCATGAAGATGCAATAATAGGTTGCTAAGGATGAGGATGCCTATCAATAAAGCAAGTTCTTAACATTTATATGGAAGCAGACTTAATAATGTGAACTTGGAAGGTTAAATCGTGCTTCGAAAGTCTTATTTTCTTGATTATAAACCTTCGATCACGCAAGAGAATTAGAACCGATTCACGCAATGTGTTAGGAAAACATTTTCAATTGCAATGATTTTGATTAACCATAACTTTGCTTCTTCTAGTCATATTAGTATATCTCCATTGAATAATGTCAGATCATTGTATAGATCGCATGCATGCTCTATGAAGTTTGATCCTCTAGATATAGATGTATATCCTAGGGCATTATAGTAGTATGAATACTATGTTTGTCTATACAGATTTCCATTAGAAAATATGGAAAAGAGTGAATTACAACAAACCCCTAAGTTAGTCTACTTAAAGAGAAGCATAGCTTGGGGCAACACTAGCAATCAATATGCAAGTTTATAAGGTTTAATTGATCCATACTCATACACTCTATGCACCTATAAAAGCTAGAAAGCTGGATAAATGAGTAATCTACAGGGGCTACAGACAGTAGCATAGAAAGACAAGAACCCGAAAAATAAGGGTTGCAACCTTCAAAAAGAAGTTAAACACAAAAGCAATATGGTATTAATCTTGGTGGTGTCTAGTCATGTAAAACTATTTTCTTATCAGCTATACTATAACTCTATAATTTTCTGTCAAGGATTTCTAATTCAGATTTTTTTTTTTTACAAGTTGGAAAAAAGAAAATTATATTATGCAGTGATAGTTAGCTAGGAAGATATTATAGCTAGAGCTTATGTACGCTTCTTTTCTCGAGAATTGTTGAAAGTAAAGTAATGCTGCAGTTATCATATTTTTACTAATTTGTTACAATGAAAAGGAGACTGCATGAAAAAAGATTTATAGCTAGTATGATGAAGGGCACATGCATTTTGCTTAACAGCATTCATGGTAACTATGATGGAGGTTTGCAATCCCTCCTAAGGTTTTGATAGGTACAGTACTACGTATAGATGCATGTGCAAATACATTGGGGCCAGGGGTAGAGACTCAGAGAGAGAGAGAGAGTAGAAAGGGGCTTATGCCCTCATATTAATTTGGAAAATATGATATATAGCTAGCTTGGAAGAGAAAATATCATCATGGTTCATGGATGAGGAGATGTCAGAGTTCTTGCAGCTTTGAAAGCCTTGGAACGCACGCTCTATAAGCATTGTTTGGAAGGCCACCCACTTGCAGCTTACTACAACTCTATTTAATCCCCAACCAGCCATGTGATTCTTCCACAGGAGACAATGGCTACTCATTCTCAGTGTTTTTGGGGCCTATACCTTGCCCTTTCACTTTATTTTATTCACTCAAGTTCCACACCTCATGTAACTTTTCTTCCCAAAAGTGTTTCACCACTTTTTCTTGTCACCTTTCTCATAATTATAACCCTGTTTACTCTGATTTCCTTGGTTTATGCAGGTGTATATAGTTTATTTGGGGCACAGCCTTAATGTTCACGATCCTCATCTCGCTTCCAAACATCATCTTCAACTCCTTTCCAAAGTTTTTGCAAGGTTATCTCTCTCTCTCTCTCTCTCTCTCTCTCTTACATACATCACTTAGCTAGGTCTTATATATTTTTCTCTGTGCATTCAATTATCTTTAGTGAAGAAGATGTTAGGCAATCCATGCTTTATAGCTACAAGCACAGTTTCTCAGGGTTTTCAGCAAAGCTCAATTCATCTCAAGCAACCACCTTGGCTAGTAAGCTAATGATTAACTTTTTCCTTTTCTCTGGTTTTTATGCTGTTTTGGTAAACAAATGAGTGGTTAAGAAACATGAATTAATATTGTAAGATGAAAAAATACTGCAGAGATGGAAGAAGTGATTTCAGTTTTTAGAAGCAAGACACTGAGGTTGCACACAACAAGAAGTTGGGACTTCTTGGGCCTTACCTTAAGCAGCAGTAGCAGTACTAGTACTGCAGGGACTCCACTGCAACTAGCCTATGGTGAAGACATCATTGTTGGGATATTTGACACAGGTCTTTTAATTTCATTACTAGATATGACTCCACATGTGGTCTATCTATGACAACCTAGCTAGCTACTTTGTGTCTTATATATGTGTTTTGGGTGATCTATTTAGGTATATGGCCTGAATCAGATAGCTTCCGAGAAGAGCCCCGGATGAGGCCTATCCCCTCAACTTGGAAGGGAAGGTGTGTTAAAGGAGAAATGTTTGAGCCAGCAAAAGCATGCAACAGGAAGCTAATTGGTGCTCGTTACTACCTCAGAGGTTTTGAAGAAGAATACGGGCCACTAAACACGAGTGGCAATCCAGAATATCGATCGGCTAGAGATTTTCTAGGTCATGGAACACACACAGCCTCAACAGCAGTGGGTTCAATAGTGAAAAACAATGCAAGTTTCTTTGGTTTGGGGCAGGGAACTGCCAGGGGAGGAGCACCGAGGGCTCGTCTAGCAGTGTACAAAGTTTGTTGGGGAAAGGATTATGATGGGAAGTGCTCTGAAGCAGACATCCTTGCAGGTTTTGATGATGCTTTGCATGATAGAGTTCATGTAATCTCCGCATCGTTTGGATCAAAACTGCCATTGTTACCGCTGTTTGTATCGGAAGCTGCAATTGGTTCATTCCATGCAATGCAATTAGGTGTTACTGTGGTGTTCTCTGCAGGTAATGAAGGGCCAGATCCATCACAGGTCACAAATGTTGCTCCATGGGGAATTTGTGTAGCTGCTTCCTCTGTTGATAGAATGTTTCCAACCCGGATAACCTTGGATAATAAGCTCTCTGTCATGGTAATTCATGCATGCACTTTAATTAATTATTAGCTCTAAGTCTCTGCCAAATTTACCAATTATTATTTTTATATGTGTTTCTCTAATTGGACATCTACATATAAATGATGGATTATGCATGCCACTACATGTTAATTATGCCCCAATAATTAAGAAGTGAAAGTTTTAGTACGGCAATATATGGTTGAGAGTTTTGTGGTGATAGAATAATTAGCAGTGGGTCACAAACATAATCATTTCCTTACCAAACCTCTGATCTGAATCGTAGTTAATATTTTGACAAGGCAGGCAGAGCATGTATAAATTTGAATATGTCTTTAAATCATTCAGCAGATTCCATTTTGTACAGGGAGAAAGCTTTATCATCACACCTATTAAGGCAAAATTGGCAGATGCGACCACATATTTTGTTAGTGGGTGACCTCTCTTTTCTCTCAGCATTTATATATTTCTTAGTTGAGTTGAGAGTGACAGAGTTTTGTACTTACAGTAAACCAAAAAAGTGCAGGGTTTGCAGGCCAGAAAAGGGCCGACTTGACAATCTTCCAAGCCCACTTAATCGGTTCACGCAAAAAGGAAACAAAAATAGGACTCCTTAATAGGCCCTAAAACCTTTCCTTATTTCACAAGATTTTTGGCCTCAAGGTACAACTTAATTTAAACCCTTATCAAACCTGATGTGACTTAGTATCTAGTGCACCGATCTAATTAGGAAAA